CAGGTTCATGCCGAAATGCACACGGCGTGACGCAGCCACGGGGCCACGTGTGGGGCTGTCAGAGTCAGCAGTTCCTGCCGTCTTGGTGGCATCGCAATTGGGGCCCACTGATGCGAGCCTTGTCGCCAGGGATGTGCTGGCTGCTTCCAGTGTGTGTGTGTGTGTGTGTGTGAGAGAGAGTGTGTGTCTGTCGTCGGCTCAGTTTTCCTGTCCTCATTTGCACTGGTTGTAAATCTGCTGTGGTTGTTTTCTCTCCCTGTCCTGGTCCCAGGTTTCTCCACCGCCTCCTACCTTAAGGTGCACGTAAAAACGCACCACGGCACTCCTCTGCTCCCTGCTGCCACTGCGCACCCCTTCCCCGAGCCCCGCGAGTCTCAGACGCACAATGGCGCCCCCTACCACTCGGGACGCCCGTGCGCAGTGGAAGGCAAGCAGCCGCGTGGCATCGCTGTCTCACTGTCACTCGCTCCGCTGATGCTCGTGGGGAGGGGGGAGGGGGGGCGAAGCGGGAAGCACACTTTGAACATGCTGACACGCAACCGCCTGCTATGGCCCCCCCCCCCCAAATATTGAGGAGAGGGGGCTCAGAGGCCCCGGCATCCCGCTTCTGAAGTCTGTTTCCTATTTCTGACGGGATCAGTGGGCCTGATGCTGCATTGCGGTTGCCGTCCGTATGTTCAAAGCTCAGGGCAGGTAAATATGAGCCCAGAGTTTGGGCTGAATTAAAAGGTGTAAAAAAGCTGTCATGTAACATCAACGCAGGTTTGCTGTGAGAATGTAAGTGTTTTTGGGCCCTGGATTCTGTGCACACGGCCTCACACAATGCCTTAGTCTGCTCTAATTCCAAATCCGTGAACAGAACAGGAAAGTGATACTTGAATTTCAGTATTTTAAATGTGTAATATGAAGAACAGGAGAAATATGGAGATGAAATTGGTAGAATGTGGAGTGTATGATACACATGATGTCACATCCTGTTCTGAGTCTTCGGCCTGTGCACCATCATCGTGCTTGAGTGGGGGATTGAGTGGGGCTGTCACATTGACACAGCTATGCTGTAAAAGTGTGCCCTCTGCTGGCCATCTGCATGATTGTCTGCGCTTTCCATTTGGCCCTAGAGTTGTTGTTGTGCATGTATGGCCACTGCCCATGCCCCCCCCCCCAGCTGTAGCCATGGTGACCTGCTGGTACAGCTGTGTTTGTGCTCTTATACCTGGCATGGCCAATCCTGTCTGTTCCTTTTCCATCTTCAGTGCAGCAACCAGCCTCCTAGCTTGTTAGCATCATGCTAATATGCATGCTCATATTTTAAGATTTAAATATTAATTTTATCCATTGTCTCTTCTCTGTATTTAATGGATCTTTTTCAAAATATTATTGCCATTGAGACCAGCAGCCTCATAGTTGGGGGGCAGGGTGAGCAGGAATGCTGTGCAAATTCAGTGCTAAGGGAGTGTTAAATTGATCTCTGTAAGCAGTCTGAAACAGTTTGGAAGACATTCAAGCCATTGAAATTGCTTTTGTAATCTCATTTGGATCGCTTCTCTGACACCCGCATTACCCGTAGCACCACCAAAGCGGACAGTAGGGTTGTTCACAGACTGGGGCTTTCGCTGGCAGCCCCTGGTCAGAGAGCGGCCAAGGCCGGGTGAGCCGTGAAGCTAACGCGCTAATCCCGCATGGCTCGGGATCCGCAGGGCCGCCTGGAATGTGAACAATCCTGAGGCGGGTGACCTCTCGAGGGGCCGACGGGGGCAGTGCGGCCGAGAGGCCTCTCATCCGTCAGGGTCTGCTTGGCTGCGGGATGGAGATGTGGGGTTCTAGTGTGAGCGACAGAGTGCATTAAGAGGGAAATTGGCGGGGGGGGGGGGGTCACTGCGTGAGAGCCGGGGGCCCTCCATCAGCGGGGGCCTGGCCCTGACCCGGCCTAGGGTCCCCCCCACGGGGTGGTCTGCTGGCTTGGCAAGTAATAAAGGGAAAAGCTTCCTTGTTCTCGGCTTCCTTAACATCCCACCGTGTGACTAAGCGGCACCATCGCCTCCCGCGCCCATCACAGCAGTGCAGCGCCGCATGTGCCTCGCCGTGCCGGCGGCCTCCTCTCGTGTGAAGTCACGCCGCTGACTTTGTTCTGTTCTTCTCCCCGGCCTTCTCTCTCCTCCCCCATATCCTCCTCGCCCCCCTCGGTCTCTGTAGACCTGTGTACCAGTCGGCGGCTGCTGGTCGCATTCCCCGAGGCGGAGGGCCGTTTCCGCGGGCTGGCCGGGCCCCCGGTGCTGCCCCCGCCCTGCCCCCCCAGTCTTAGCTTACAGCCCGAGCTCCTCCTGGGCAAGCCTGGGGGAGCTCCCTATTTCTGGGAGTGCCGTGCTGCTGGGGCGCCAGGCTTTCCCCCGCAAGGGCCGCCTGCAGGTCAGTACGACCGGGCCGGTTGGGCGGGGGTGGGCGAGGAGGGGGGGGTTCTGGGCCTTGAAGGAGAGTCTTACCAACAGAGGAGGCAGAACACTGTGATTCCAATGCGGGGGGGTTGCTCCTCACGTCACACAAACATCTCAGGCTTTGGTAGCTGCCGCATCACCAGCAGACGTCTGCTCTTCACGGTAGAAACACGACCCGCATCTCAGACAGTCTGCCCGCTTGGTTTGTGCGCTGGCTGGTTGCTCTCGCTGGAGTCCACGGTGCTGGAGAGCTTCTGGGGTTCTTTGGACTCGAGACCCCTGACAGTAGCGTGAAGGGGCCATTTTGCTAGTTCAGCATAAAAATAAGTATTGTTTGTGCAAAACATTTGATCCATATGTTGATGTATGTTGAGTAGTAGGTGGCTAACAGGGAAGCGTCAGTAGGAATAACGATGGGGGATTGGAGAGCGCAGACTAGCAGGCAAATTAGGGATATCAGTCATCACACCATTACATTTCGGTGCAGTCCTGAAGCACATGTAGTAACACTGGCAGGTAAGTTTGGCCCCTAACACTGGTCCTGTGTCAGCAGAGGATGACGGCGGACGGTGTCTCTGCCTTGGGCAAAGTCTCAGGTTTGCTGATTCTAACACGAGGGGGCCCTAGACCGCTTCCCGTTTCCGGCCCCCCCGCCACAGATAGAAGCCGAACACCTGTTTTCCGTTCTTTGCAGCGCGGAGCATGTCCCGTGTTTAATGTAGTGTGTTTGCATGCTGGGTGGATGTTCTTCCCGGTACACGCAGAGCCGCAGTCACGTGCTTATTAGTGTGTAACACATTGTGTGTCCCTCCTGTGAGGAGGAGCTGTTAGCCATTAGCCGGTGTTTCCTGTGGTTTTGCCGTCGCCGCAGATCTGTATGATTCCATAAGTCGCTCTCCATGCTCTCTGGATTTTCTCATATTTACATGTATATTTAGCAATTTAGCAGATGATTTTACTCAAAACAACGTTTGTTTTTCCTTGAGCGTCAGACAGTCCCAAGAGCTGTTTAGGGGTTAACTGCTTTGTTTGGGGACCCGTGAAATAACTGCTGACCCTGGGATTTGAACTGGCGACCTTCTGATCACTGGCGCGGCTTGCTACCCCGCTGAGCGCCACACTGTCAGGCTCACACTTGGGGCTGTGCGGTCGCCTCGTCTTACTGTTTCGTTAGAACCTACACCTGCCCCCTGGAATCAGCAGTGTCCCCAACTGTGGTTTCGTCCACTGCCCGGTCTGTGTAGCTCTTTCCATGGGATGGGTGTCGCGGGTTAGCTGAAGGCTTGGTGTGGCTGGGGAAGTTGGTGTGCCACGTTTACGCCATAACACCCGCTCTCTCCTCTCTCTCTCCTAGACGGGCAGGAAGATGTCAGCAAGTGTCCTCACCAGGACTCCGGGAGCTCAGATACCTCCTTTGGAGAGCTCTCCGACGTCGGGGAGCTTAAGTCTCAGCGTAAAGGGCCAGATGCTGGCCTGAGCGGGTTCCCCTGCCCCGGGGGGGGCGCCGGGTCCACGGGCGGGGGCGGCAAAGCCAAAGCGGACTCTGAAAAGAAGCACCCATGCAGCGACTGCGGCCAGGCCTTCCGCTCAAAGTCCTACCTCAACAAGCACCTGCAGCGGGTACACGGCGGAGCTCAGAAAGGGCTTCCGGGGGCGGGGGCCACCCTCGGAGATCTGCCCCCCTCACTGGGGTCTCCCTTTTCTCCTCAGCAGAACATGTCCCTTCTGGAGTCTTTTGGCTTTCAGATTGTACAATCGGCCTTCGCCTCCTCCCTGGCTGATACAGAAGCTGGTCATAGCAGCATGGGGATGGGGGGCAAATGAACTCGGGTCAGCCTGTGCCCCCCCCACCACCGCATGGGTTGGTGTTGGGAGTTGCAAGGGGCAGGCGGTCCAGCAATTAGGCTGATTGAGGAGAGCCCAGCTCTCGACCACTTTTACCTGCCCAGAATCTTTATTTTGTTGGGTTTTATAAGTGTGTTGATCGCAAACTACCCACTTTTGGGCCAGTTTGTATGAGAAGTGTACATAAATATTCATATATTGGCTTTTATTAATTTTGAACAGATGGTATCATCTTTTTAACAAGCTCCCCCTTGATACCATGAAGATGTGATTTTTAGTGACATAACAGGTCCCCCCTCCCCGTCGGTCCGTCCGTCCTGAGCATACATGCAGTGTTCAGTCACACTTCCACACACAGTGTCCGTTTTGGTCCTGTGGATCCTCGTTCTGTCAGAGTGACAACATGGCGGGGAGCATCAGGCCTCAACCCCACACACAGCGAGCGTCGGTCAGTGGAAATGCTAATCCTAATTGTCATGTAAGTGTTTAGTGTCACACAGAACAGGGACTCGGTCGTGGGAGCTTGGGACGTCCCGTGTGGCTGCCGTGGCGGTGTGGTTTGAGGTGTCTGCTGCCATAGTCACTGCTGGATCGCGACTCCAACCCCAACCGGCGCCTGTTCTGAAAACACAAAGGAATCACTTCCAGATGCTCGATCGGTCTGCATGCTCTGCTGGGAGGGTCCATCAAGTCCATCAGTCCCCATCTCTATAGCACTTCTTGGTCTCCAAATCGAGTGACGTGACTGTGCCGATCAACCGTGCTGGTAAACTCTCAGCTCTGCACCTTATGGCAAAGGCCCGGTGTTACGATGACATCACACCGTGATGACAGACAGGAGGAGGAGGACAGACTGCAGCTGGAGGGGGGCATGTGGAGGCCATCTTGGGGGTTCAGGGTGTTTAATTCAAGCTGTTCTTATGAAGCTGGAGAGTGGAGGTTGGAGCCCAGAATGTCTATCAGCTCATTAACGTGATTTTGCACCTTGGATTTGTCATGGTTTGGTAACAGGCGTGTTATTGGACGCTGTAAATGTTTCCTCATCCCTCATGTCCTGTGTTTGAGAGAGGGAGTGAGGGAGAGCCACTAACGTATGCCTCCAGAATGTAACTAAGCCAGACTCTGTTAGTACTTTATTTGAAAAATAAGTTCATTCTATTAACGTGTACATTCCGTAATTTATAAGATTTTACTGTTCTGATTGTCATATGCATACACACGTGTCTGTGTATGTATATAAGATGCATATATGTCTGTGTATATTTATATGTTTGTGTGTGTGTGTGTGTGTGTGTGTGAGAGAGAGAGAGAGCGATGTGTATTCTGTAAATAAATGCCGCTATTGCTCTGTACCTACAGAGGAGAGTCGCAAGGAAATTGTGTAGAAGTGGCAGATGGGAAGATTTTATTTTTTTTTTAATTTTATTTTTTTTTTTTTTTTAACTTTTGCGGGGGGGGGGGGGTTCTGTTTCCCACTGCCAGCCCTGCACTCTGCTCTGATGGGGTGGGATGGGTGTGAAACACTGGAGGGGAGGCAGGGTGGCTGTTTGCACTGTGGACGTGTGCTGAGGGAGGCTCTGTATGGAGGAAGTTGGATCCCCGGGCCTGGTCTTCAACCAGCCTCTGGAAGAGGCCGTGGGCCTGGTCTTCAACCAGCCTCTGGAAGAGGCCGTGGGCCTGGTCTTCAACCAGCCTCTGGAAGAGGCCGTGGGCCTGGTCTTCAACCAGCCACTGGAAGAGGCCGTAGGCCCGGCGGATTCTGTGTGTGAAGTTTGGGTGTGTGTCCTCCCTGACTGTACAAACTCTGATTTTATTATTATTGTTGTTATTTTTGGGACGTTGGGGTAAATACCACAACTGTCCCGCAAATTAAATTTATTCCTAATTTTGAGTTATAATGTTATATTTATGCTCCAGTGAGTAATATTATATTATTTAAGTGGTGGTGGTCGGTATGGGCATGGCCAGCGTTGTGGGAGACCGCCGTTTGAGCGTTTTGTTGTTGTTAGTGTTAGATGACCGGCTTTCATTACTCACTGACAGCATGCATTCTCTTGCTTTTTCATAACTCATATGTGTTTTGGTCTGTTGCAAAGTGCCTTCCAAATACTGATTACAAACCGTGGTTTTAAAGAGAATAAGCTGGGGAAAAATGTCTAGATCTAAATGTACAACAAACACCATTTACACACACGTACAGAACATACGTACACGGAACCGGGCGTACGTTTGGAAATGTTATATCTTATGGCTATTTTTTTCCTCAAGGTTGTTGGTTATTAACGTTAAGTTACTATTTTTTTGATATTTCATTATAAGCATACTTTTTCTATAGATGTTGGTTTTTGTACACTGTTTTCTGAGTCTGTAGTCTCTGACTTTATGGCAGAGATTGGAACTAAATAAAGCTGTCCATGTAAAACTCTCTGGTGTCTGGTGGGCTGAGGAGTCTGGCTCATTCTGATGAAGGAAGCTAAAGAGGAGGAGTAGATTCAGCCGGAAGCTTCATTTCTCAGGGCGCTCCTTACAATCGCTGTGAAACCGAGGCTTCCCCCACATTAGTACCCCAGATTGTACCTTATCCCTGTAGTATTCCAGCTCCCTGTAACTACGAGTGAGTTGAGGATGGAAGCTATATTCGATCCAGTATGTAATTAAATTTTAATAACCCTTTCACATTTTGGGTTTAGTGGATTCACAGACATTCTACCTTTTTGTAGATCCAGTATAGCTGGCCACAGTGACTTTCGTGTCTATTGATTTGAAAATTGATGTGAATGGGGTTGTATCATTCGTTGTGATGGTCTCAGTTTTCATTGCTATGCCGATAGTCACCTCCTTGCCACCTGCTTCACTACCTGCCTTTGCGAAGTCAAACACTGTATGACCTCTAACTTCTTTGTTCTGATAAAACTCAAATTAAGAATTCTAGCTGCTTCCAATTCATTTCTGCTCTGCCTGATTTGATAATTGATGTGAATGAGGCATCATTTTTGATCAGTCCCTTACTTTTCAGCCCCACCTTAGCGCTCTGGATCAGGCTGCATTTTTCCATCCATGAGTATCGCTCCATCCCTTCCTCAGTGTTAACGACACTGAAACACTAGTCCAGGCCATCATCACTGCTCGCTTTGATTATCGCAACGCATTGTTTATTAAGCTCCCTTCAAAATATCTCCACAGATTAGGGCACGTTCAAAGCTCTGCTGCCCGTCTGCTTACGTATAATAAAACCCACCCACATTTCTCCTGTGATTAATATTGGTTATCAGTTACTGTCAGGATAAAATTAATACTTATCACCTGCAAAGCTCTTCATTGGCCTTGCCCTCATCTATCTGACCTCCTTCATCTGTACATGCAGACTCATACATTAAGATCCTCGGGTTCTAGCTTCTTCACAGTACCTACTTTAGGTTATCTACTGTGGCTGACTGTAGCGTCAAAACCCTAGAATGCACTTCCACAGAGTGTTAGATGTTTTAAACTTAAAGCTCCAGTTAACAGCATATCTACTGTAAAAATACAGTTTATAAGGTTCCCCTGGAAACTCAGAACTGACATGGAGTCAGTCGAGCACCTCTGAACAGCTACTTAGTTGACATCAGCAAATTTGTAAGAGCTCTTCTTAGAAGAGTCACCCATGTAACCTAATCTTATGAGAACTGTACTTAACTACTTAATTAACCAAATGCAAAAAAATACCTGAGTAGCAGAGTAACCTGGATGACAGACAAATGGAGAGATGATTTTAATGCTTTGGACACGTTTGCCTTTTTGTCGGCAGAATTGTTGAGCAGTATTACACATTTTCCAGACAAGAACAATATTGACAGTGAGGGTGAGTTTTTGCACTTTGCTGTAAAGCTTCAGTGTTGTACGGAAAATTCTGTCTGACTTGAAGTCTAATTTAATCATCTGCAAGAAGGCAGCAGCACAAATGGAAGTAGCTTGTGGACCCTACCGCTTTGGTCACAGACCCGCTGGCCCCAGTGCACCCCCTGCTGGCGAATGAGAGGGCGGTGCAGGCGTAGTCTGACCTACAAGGCTGTGGAGTGGAGGACTTCCCCAAGCTGGTAGAAGGCCTGAAGCCTCTGGCGGCCTGGGAAATTGAGCTTGTCAAACTCACAGGTGATTTCTTGCAGTGATTTTCCCTTCGTCTCCGGCAGAGCAAAGCCGATGAAACTGGAGGCCAGCAGGCAGACGACACAAAAGGGGACGAAGCAGAAATCGCCGAGTTCACTCTGTGGAGACACCGGAGGAACGAAGACTTGATGGAAGTAGGAATTGTGTTCATGAAATGTCAGGTTGGGGGGGGCAGCCAAATACATCCTGTGCTGGTATTAGAGATTACTGAAGGATGCTGAGGACTACTGAACTTGGAAGGCAGATGAAAACTCTTCCAGCCTGAAACAGAGACACAGCTCCCTGCTTGCACCTGCGTGGCTGGTTTCATTGCAGTGGTGTGAAATGTCCCTAACAAGAGCCTTTATTCCTGTTCTCCGAGGACAATATCCCCCCAACTCCACCACAGTAGTGTCACGAAGGACAGTGTTTCTCTACCCAGTCCTCAGGAACCCTGTGACAGTCCACATTTTTGCTCCTTCCCAGCACCCTGACAGACAGTCCACATTTTTGCTCCTTCCCAGCTCCCAACAAGCCTGTACCATGTATTCGATGTTCCAGGATGAAGCAAAAATATGGACTGTGGGGGGTCCCCAAGGATTGGGTTAAGAAATATTTATGCAGGATATTAGCATCAAAACAAGATTCAGCAGCCTAAAGACCAGTTAGGGGCAGTTAGTGTTAACCTATTGCAACTCTGCTGGTTACCATCCCTTATCTGCAGATGATGATAAAGAGGAATTAAACTGAAGTGTGAATGTCACAATGGGGGCTGCAAGCAGCAGTGTCCTTCATAAAGATTCGGGGGTTTTGCGCTGATACCTTGATGGCGGCCATCTTGGTGTCATGAGAAATAATATCAGGGTCAGTTTGTGGGGGATCACTCACCACTAAGAAGGGAAAGACCATCCCCACCATGAAGAAGTTGATCCACATCAGGGAGCCTGCTATCATGTACGCAGCTGGCCGCGCAGCCTGATTGAATATTTCAGTGGGCAAGATTCCTGTCACTCCAGCTGGGGAGGCGGGATAAACAGACACAATGATACCAATGAGTTCTCTCCATCCAGCTACCACTCCCTTCAACCCCTTATCCCAGCAAATTCTTCATCTAGTTAAAGTTAGTAATATATAGAAAATTTATGTTGAAAACAAAATTTTCCATCCTGGAGAAACCCTGACAGACTGGTAAAGTTATTCCCAAGAGGTACTGCAGTTTGATTTGGATAAAATAACGTAGATGTGATCAAATTTATGAACAGTAAAACAGCTGTACTGACCAGGCCCCATCCCAAAGCTCAGTATATAGGCGAAGATGCAAGTCATGCATAAGTAAGGCATCCAGTCCACTGTCCTCTGTTTGCAATGAGAATGAACAGGCAGGAGAATTCAGTCTCACTCTCCGGAAGCCACATGCACTCTGCTTTACACCTGCTCATTCCATTAATTCAGTGTCTTTAAAAATGACTGAAGTACGATATGTTCTTAATACTGGGAACTAAGACTTGTTCTGCAGATATGATCTATATCGATCTCCCAAATGTGCGACTGCTGGAGTGATACCCGCAAATTCAAGTTGATTTTGTAAGTTTTATGGTTGTAGCTTTTGTGGTTTAATAAATTAGCCTTGGTTGAGCTCTTTGATCGATTGAATTGCACTGCTGAGATCCTCTTAAATGAATACTTCAGAGCGTTTCTTATTGTGTGTTCAACCACATCTGTGTTAGTCAAGAGTGACGGCTATGCTTTTTATTTTTGCCATTTAAACTGATTAATATTTCAGTTAAACAATATTTCAAAAATGACTGAATCAATGTGACTCTGCTTATTTTATAGATTTTCTTTAATTAACTGAATCAACCTTTTTGTTATTTTTTTTGTTCAGTATAAGAAAGACTTGTGCCACACACCACAGCTCACACATTTCTGAGATGCTGATTAGCCCAATTGTATGTCTTTGAACGAACCCGACGAAAGCAGGGGACCCACAGGGTGCCCACAAAACATGTCACGTTCATACCTGGAATGACAGAGCCACTGTGAACACCACGGACCAACCGGCCATGAGGACATAACCACCAATCAACAGCAACCTTCTGCCAAGATGCTCGATAAGCAGGCTCTGATTGGGCAGAGCAAATGTTTTCAGGTCACAAACACACAGCCAATGAAATGTGGGAAACATATTGTTATTTCAATCAAACACTCTCAAGCCAGTGTAATTAGTATATGAAGCATATTATTGTGTGCATTCTCGTTATAATATTTAAGCATCATTTAAAAAGATAAAGGATTATCCAGAATATGGGGGATGTTAGCAAATAACTGTGAGAGTGGAGAATGAGACAGGAACACTCACACACATTATTACGGCTGCAAATTCACACGCCCCCGTGCCAATGGTGGCGTACGGGATCTTATCTGTGGAGATCCCCGCTTCTTGGAACACAGAAGACGCGTAGAAGTATATCTTCATTGGGGAAAAGAAGGGTTAAGTTTAACACCAAATTTTCTGAAGTTTCCGGATTCTAAATGGCTTTAATAAAGCATTGAGAGGTTTGAAACACCGTGGGTGATTAAATACTGCTGAAGCCACGTAACGACTTGTATAGCATATGGGCTCACAGCCCGGTAAATGTTACCTATGACGAGTAGCTAAAGGCCAGTTACTGGATTTGGCAATACTTCCAAACAGAAGAGCTGCTTGATCGCACAGATTAATGAAAAAAATACATGACTTTATTTAGCATACACTTTTATGCAAAGCAACATAGAATTGTGAAAGCAGAGTCAGCCAGTCCCTGGAGCGACTGGGGTTAAGGGCTTTGTTCAAGGTCCCAACAGTGACATCACTCTGCCAGCGCTGGGATTTAAACCCATGACCTTGTGGTCACAAGCACAGCGTCCTAACTTACTGAGTCACACACATGCTATCCTTAAATAAAATCCTAAATGCTGGCAGAATTCACTCTGTCCTATGTTGAACTTTTCTGCAACTGCCTTGCAGAGGAACCAAGTACAAAAAGACGCCTTTAACTGAACCCTTAATAGACCATCACCCAAACAGGCATTTGAAGGCGGAACCCTCAGATTAAACAGCTGACACTGAACCAACTGAGCTATCCAGACTCTGAAAATACTTTCCCCAGTTCAGTTTTCTGTCCCTCAATGTCCCAGTGCCAGTTCACTGAGTAGGCCGCTTTACTCTAAATGTGAGCATGTCCCCATCCCCGTCCTCTGCGCTCTGCTGCACTCTCACTGCGACTTACCGCATCATTACCACAGAGCTGCATGGCGCTGCTGACGATCATAACAGAGCCAAGCTGCCAGCGAACAGCTGGGTCTCGGAGCAGCTCCCACGGACTCCTGGGCCTCTCCCCCGTGGATGCGGCCTGCTCCTGCAGGATCTCAGCCATCTCGCCATCGACGGCATCGGAGCCATGCAGCTGCTGCAGTGCTGGACGGCAGGATGGCAGGAATTCAACACTCGCCGATGCATAAATTCCCAAAGCACGCGCTAAGCCTGGACGTCCCCCCTAGTGGCCTCACCCCTGATGCAGGCGTCCTTGTCTCCCCTGTCGATCAGGAGGTACCGGGGACTCTCGGGGCACCAGGGCAACGTAAGCAGCTGTATGAAGCCTGGGACTGCAGCGCTCCCCAGGAGGAACGGCCAGCAAGCCTGGCAGCCCAGCAGCTCCCTGATGGGAGACTGAGGCTGAGCACCATCACAGGTCCGGCTGTGGCTGAGGATCTTCCCATAAAGACCTCAGACCCCAGAGCTCATTAATAGTGTGTCATACCTCACTGTCCTACAATGATTCTTAGACAAAGCTTCACACTGAATGGAGCAGTACTGAAACAGCCCAGGCAATGCCAAATAAACAAAAAACAAAGGAATTTCTCAAATAGTACAGTAAAACAATGAATAAAGTTTTGTGTCTGGATTGATCAATCTGGGATTGAACATAACAGGGAAACATCAGGATAAACTAATCTACTGTGGTCTGAGACACCAAGACTCTAACCTTACCACTGACAACAACAGAAGTTCTCTTTTTGACCCCACAAAACTGCATGTGGCTGTGCGGGACCATGGGCGTTCCTCAATACTTGACCATACTTTTGTTCTCGTGTACCTGTTTGACATCATCTTCCATTGTGGAAGACCAGTTCCAATGCTCAAGAACAGAAGTACAGAGGGCAGTCAAAATCCCCGGATGTTGGCCTTGCTCCTCCCCAATTATCAAGGATACGTCGGTTGCATCCTCACTGAATGAGACCAGTCTCATGAATCATTACACCCCAAGTTCATTCTCAGGAGGCAAGTTAGCAAGACCGGTCTTGCCAAGACCACAAGTACAATCTTTGCATTCGTGGTATTGAGAAACACCCTGTGTATTACCCTGCAGGACCTCGTGACCACATCGGCTGTGTGTGACCACTGAGGACTGTGCATAAGCATCCAGACCTACCTCAGGCCCACCACCTGTCCCAGCACCACACCGAGGGCCGTGAAGATGCCAGATGACAGGGCCACAGCCCCCCTCAGATGTTTGGGAGCGCTCTCTCCGAAATACATGGGCTGGATGTTCATGCTGACTCCTGCAAAATGGGAGTAAAGGTGGACGGCCATCAAGCCGAATGACCAGCTCCGCCACACAACGGTACAATCAATCATTGCAAAGCGGAGTAATGATTTTCAGAGGCTGCGCAAACTGGCGAATATTTAACTGCATTTCTCAAGCGGGAAGCGGCGTGTTAATGACACTCGTTACAGTGGAGCGACACACTCAGCTGACCTCAGGTCCGTGCTGGACGCAGTGAGAGACATACCGGCGTTGATCCCTATGAGGAGGCGGCCCAGGACGATCATCTCATAGGAGCGCGAGGCTCTGCTCGCGATCAACAGCACGCAGCTCAGTCCCAGAAACACATTGTTCATCAGTAGCGACCTCTTCCTGGAGGCGAGAGTACAGCTCATGGTCTCGCAGTGATGGGGAGATGAGATATATCTCTGGGCTGGTGATTCAGAACCCAGATCTGTACCCGGACCACTAGGTGGTCTCGTTACATAGAAATGAGACCCCGGTGTTACCTTCCAAATCGGATGGCCATTGGTCCAGCGAGCAGCGCCCCCAGCAGGCCACCGACAGAGAAGATCGAAACGATGAAGGACCAAAACAGATTCACTTGGTAGGACTCCAGAGCTACAGCCCAGCGTTCCCAGCTGGTGTCATTGATAAACCTGCAGATGTCCTAAGAGGAAAGTGATTGCAGGTTCACAGCACAGCTTTCACGTTAGGACCCTCACCCCCCCCCCGCAGCCTCAGCCTTACCACAGTGGGTGCATTGATGATGGCAATGTTGTAGCCGTACTGAAATGTGCCACCAATAGCGGCTGAGCACACAGTCCGAGCCAGAGTCAGGCTGCCACCCTGTTGACAGAAATGAGAAGCGAGTTTGCTAAGCATTGTGGGAATTAGGGGTATGTTTAATTTAAATAAAGCAAGGGTCCCAAACTAAGAGTCCCCGTCTTGTGAGTCACACCCATGTTTGGTTGTCTCAGATAGGCTTATCTAAATTTCTGGACTGTTTCTTATCTTAACAACGGATATAAGTCAGGTATGGGATCAAGTCATTCCTTGGCGAGTCTGAGTCAAGTCTCAAGTCAAAACATGGCAGTCCGAGTCAAGTCTTGAGTCATTTACCCTCAAGTCCAAGCCGAGTCCTAGTCTTTCCATGATTTTTGCAGTCAAGTCACAAGTCATCAAATTTGCGACTCAAGTCCATGCCAAGTGTGAGTCATGTAACTTGAGTTCTTACCTATGTCAGATTTTTACCTTTAGTGATTAAAATTTGCTGCAGCAAAAACCCAGCACAGTACATCGTAAGATACATTCTGTATAAGCATAGATAGGCTGAAATGAGAGTGTCCATCACGGTCGTCCTCACACAGTTTTCATGTCTGTGTATATGCAGAAAGTGATCCAACAAACTCTCAGGAGACCTTGCATTCAGCCAATTGAAAAGGCAGACAACACAGTATTAATACACAATAAAATCATAAAACTAATGTTATGGTATCCAGAGGGGGACTATAATCTCAAGTCTTCCCGAGTCATTGGGTCCAAGCCAGGTACAAGTCTCGAGCCATTGCCCTCAAGTCCAAGTCTTTCCATCTGTTCTGCCAAGTCGAGTCACAAGTCATCAAATTTGTGAGTTGAGTCTGAGTTGCAAGCAAGTGACTTGAGTCTCCACCTCTGATATAAGTACCACATGAAAGGTTACTCTCTTAATCTCTTTAACCAACATTCCACTCCCAAAAGTAATCCCTTCTAGAAGGAGTTTCAACACTGCTGAGAGTCTTTGATAATAAGCGTTTCTATGGAAAGTGGCATCTAGGTGTAAATCCGAGTGTTTTTTTTACTGTTGGCGCTGTTTTATTATATTCAGCGCAAACGCGGAGCTGTTCTCTTCAGCTTCACAAACATCTCGTCGGGATATGCGATCACAGGCTGAAGAGCGTTAAACTGTGCAAATGTGAACCGACTGGCATCGCTATTCACGTCATTCAGCCGCATGTAACAAACGACGTAAGTAATTAACCTAAACCACCTTATTCCTTTAAATATACAAAAAAAAAAACCAAATACCTTTTTTTCCAGGTCATCATTCATCTTGCGCCGCGGTTTGCTTTTAATGTTATTACTGTTACTTTGTAGGTAAAGCAATACATGTAAACCTGGCGAGCCTGCGCAAGTTTCGTGCCTTTTTCACTGCGATTACCGACCAGTCTTCTGTCTGGACTGTCGGTTTTGAGGCGATGTGTGTGTGTGTGTGTGTGTGCCTGCCTGCCTGCGTGTGTGTGAGGGACGGATTTAGTTTTCCGTATGTGTAACGATCAGAAATACAACCGGTCAATGAAACTTTTAAAAGGTGAAACAATACAACTGAACAATAAAGACTGATCATGAGCTTGTCGCTCATTTAAAGCTTATTCGGTGTGTGCTCGAACTCTTTATATGGCTTGGATCTAATTTAAATACTGTATGGACTGCAGGTAAGTTCAAATTGGACACTGTACACGAGTCGTACGGGTCGAAAGACTCTTTACCAGTGACAATGCTGTAGGGGGCGCTACTGAACTAAATTTAAACCCCACTCCAAGCAGGTAGTGATGGAAATGTACTGGTCTTCAAAATAAATCTTTAAATATATCATATCTGATTTATCCATGAAATGCATCTATGTCAGATATTTGAAACTTTATATTGTTATGTGCCGCATTTTAATCAATATTCTTAGCCTCAGTAACTGAAGCAGTCATTAAACAAAAATAATAAAAGTAAAAATGCACCAGTATGCCAAAGCTAGCAGTAAGACAGTCTGAATTACACATGTACATTGTGGGGGAATGTAGTCTAATGAAGTCTCATAATGAAAAAGAATAAATGAACAAACAAACAAATAAATTATATATATATGTATGCCCTTTTTCTTTATGAGAAATATGTATCACTGTAATTTTACATAATCATAAAGATTAAACTTATCTTTAAAATATATTACTAATTTGTCTGTTCAGCACCTGAGTCAAGAACTTATTAAATTTTCCGGGCAAAGTCTTCCTGAAGTGGTGGGTTTTTAACCTGTTAAAGAACATTATGAGTGACCTGGAGTATTGGTGGTTGACACAGTAGTGGTTTGGTAGGATACAGTTTTCAAATCTAATCTTTGAATAAGGTAAAGGCGTTGTCACATCCGGCCCTGAATGCAGTTTGCTGTTCACCTGCCTGCTCCTGGTTTATCTCTCTGTCTTGGTTTCCTGGTCTCCTGGCCTGGTTTACTGAGTCTTTACTCAATGCTAGAGTCGCTCTTAGCTGCCTCAACTACATCCCTCGGAATCAGAGCCCCCAGGCCTGTTAGCGCTGAGGACCTGGTCACTTACCCATGCACTGAAGAGCAAAGCCCAAGTCCTCAGGACCTGCTTAATGAAGTTTGGTTCTCTTTGCCTATAGCTGCTGACTGAATGTACATGGTGTCACCGATGTGAGTTGTCCTGTTACAGTGTAATCAGGTGGTGAAAACTTACAAATACACCCCCTCGCTCCCCTTCCCCATGCAAACACAAACATAACTCTGAGACCACTAGTGAAAACACTTCTTGTTTTCCCATTAGAAATTATATTATGAACATAATGCATAAATTTCGTAATTTCTTAGGATTTTGTATGTCCCGCTTTTGCTTTAATGGAACCTGAGCTGCCATATACTCTGCAAGGTTCTGCAGTATGATCTGAGAACATTCCAAAGATCTCACTGAGAACTTGGCTGTCTGGGTCTTCAGGTGCCTCCCTAGTGTGCAATGGTTAGGTGACTATAGAGGATGCCCATGACAGTCGGAACTCCTCACTCTTCTTAGTGCTTGCAAAGTTTTGAGGTATGTTCATCATTATCCTGATGCTGTATGAATCCTTCTCCACAAACCAGAGGGTAACAATCACACAGACACACACACTATATATATATATACAGCAGTACACAAGAATAATTATATCAATAATATTAATGTGTAATAATTCATTGTAAATGTGATGATGTGGTGCTGATCTGTCCACAACATTTACAGAGGGGAAACCCCTCTCTCAATTTGCCCCCCTAGAGGGGAGAGAAGCATAGAGTCATCTGTGTGGGGTGGCTGAGTGTCCATGTCTGGAGGATTGTGGGTTTGAATCTAATAACCAGCAGGATAATCGTATCACAATTGGGCCCTTGAGCTGGGTCCTTAAGCTCATTTGCACCAGGGGCACTGGAAGCTGGCTGACCTGATGCTGATTTATATGACACGTTTTTGACAAAAGCACAGTCTGCTACATAAATGTAAAGGCAGGGAGGGGAGAATCACTGCACACTTTGATCTCATAAAGGCTCTGGCAGCACAGAATTATATTCACAGGTAGTGCAGTTTGCCTGCTTTTCTGATACCTCCTGCTTCTGAGCTGGGGAATTATCATGTTAAAATATATTATCTTAGGTCTTCTGGGCAAATTCATAATCCCAGAATTCTGTCCACTAACCCTAATATTAGATTATATGAATTCAAATATATTCTATGACTCCCTGTCTGCTATCTGATAACAAAAAAGCAAAAAAAAAATTCACTTCAAAGACAACTAGGCTATTTATGTTTGACTGCAAATTAATATGAAATCCTGATGCTATTTTCACATACAAATGACAAAGATTTTCAAAGTAAAAAAAAAAAAATACTTAACGTGTTGTGTGGATATTTTATCTATTTGACCTGTTTTCCATTTGGTACTATTTTTATGGCAACAAATTTCCTCCTGTACCTTGTTCTTGCAATGAAAATTAAAAATAAACTTCTCTTTGATCTTTTTTTGTCCTATTTTCTGTTTGATGCTATTTTTATAGCAATAATTTCCTCTTGTAGGCTACTTGAAAATTAAAAATAAACTTCCCTCTCCTCGTCCTCTAACTATATATATTTCCGCTGGATCTTATTACGTTTTAAACAGTAATCCGCTTTCTATACATTAAAAATTAAAACGTAGCACCGACAGCATATCCGTCTCTGCCCCTGAACTGACGCAACTGATTCTTCAAGTAGCCTGTAAGTCCACAGGGTAGACTCAGTACAGTTCCGAGCCTAGAGGTTCAAATCCAGTCCACATCTAACGCATAAAGGTAGTATTTCTACGCCAAAGTGGTCGAGTATTTTAGTACTGTAAAGTGCTTCTTTGGTGATCAAGCTAATTTGCAAAAATACGTGTTCTCTTCAACAATACGGTAATGTCTGATCTGTGGTGTATTTAGCAGAAGATAGTTTATGAAACCTTTTTAGAGCAGGAGTCAGGGAGCAAGATCAGCTTCATAACGATCGCATCACGCACGCAACCGGAGAAGAGCGATCTGAGACGGGGCAGATGACTAAGGCGTATCATACTCATACCAAAACCCTAATGATAACTGATCCTTCTTTTCAGGTTTCAATCGCAGCCACATTATATATAAAGCCTAACTTCTTATGATAATAACTATATTAAGAATAACAACAGAATTCCCTTGACTCCACTGTGTGCGTGAATTGAAACTTACATTGGCCGGTTAGTACTCGCAAGAAAAGAAAAGGTGTCTCGAGAAAACTGGCCTTGTTGTTAAGTTGTTAAGTATTTTTGTTTTTCTTCGCACAGTTGGAAAAAAATAAGTGACGGCGTAGGAGGCGGAAAACAATACGCTAAACTTCATTCATTATAATTATTACCGCGCGTCTCTGTTAGCCCCCGGGGGCCCCGGGCCCCGATGTGACCGTCGCGGGTCGCTGTCCGGCGGCCGGGCGGTGCTGATTTAACCCCACGCTCGCCATTCCCATCTGTCCTGTGCACTTATGGGCTGACTCTGCACTTCGCAGTAACTTCACAGACACAGCATGTCGTGTCCTGTCCGGCGGCTTTCCGCCAAAGGGCTCTTTGCGATTTTAATTGGTATCAGTACGTTTATAATTACTCGCATGGTGATGTTGCGTTACCTTCCAGGGGATTCATTAATCGCTTGGCAGTTAAATTAATCAGTTTCACAGTTACCGACGTCAAATGAGGAGATTGTGTCCTTCATCATTTATCCAAGCTCTAACGCCAATTATTCATGTAGGCCTATATATTGATAAATCTACCAAATTTTCAGCTTCATTGTGATTATTTTTCAATATTTTACTTTCGATGAGGCGTGCAAATCAGTTGTGTTGTTCGTATTTTGTTTGCTTTGATAACCTTGATAAATGTATAAGCCGTGGTATATAGGCCTATTGTAGCCTAATAAAATAAGAAAATACAGCGAAACCTTTTCTGTATTTATAAGAATTCAATCCAATACCGAAACAGGTATAATCATAATTTACACAGTGATGGACTGTGTAAATCCGTCCAGGGTGTGCCCCCGTCTTGGGTCCTGTTCTGGCTGAGACAGGCTGCTACCCCCCCGGACGAGATGGTGGCTGATGAATGGAGGGCAGATGTGCATAGACAAGCCGAAAATACTCACTGGCGGTAGGAATAGCAAAGGTAGCCAAAGTATTACTTCATTACGTAATTAACTTTATTATTTTTGATTTATTTAGCAGATGCTTTTATATAAAGCGACGTACAAGTAGGTTTTGACAGCACGTTATGTGCTCAGGTTTAGAGCAGGCAGCGACACGCGATTTGATTGTATATTTAGAAATAAAATTCAAGTAAAAAACTCAATAACAGCCAAAATCCCTGTAGGTTATCGCTGTTGCGCCTTATTGATACTGCCTCAGCCGAAGTGCTTTCTTATAGACAGAGTCTAAAATATATACATAACAATACTGTACATGTATGTGTTTGACACTGATAAGTAGCCTAAACTATATTGAAAACCCAGAGGAGTTGTGGAAGTGCTGAACGGGATCATAATGAAATTTGTTCTTGTGGGACGACACATCAAGGCAAAAAAGCCAAGCTATTACAATTAAGATTTAATTACGATAACATATAGCCTAGGCCTAGGTAGGGTTACAGGATTGTAATACCTTGTACTAAGGTAAATAAACTGTACAGGTGATATGTATGCGCTAAAATCGGTGCAAATGGAAGCGATGGTGTGAGATGAGGACGTTGCAGTGTCCTACAGACTGCCGCTGGCTGGGTGCTCCGTGGCGCTCTAGTCTGGTGTATTTTTTGCCTGTAGGGTCATCCCCCGCCTCGCTTACGTGCCACACACGCAGCATTATAACCTGCTTTCCTCAGTAGTCCCCGAAACGCAGGAAAGGCCAGTTTTAAGCTGCTTTATGACAGTGGATTGTAATAATCGGCACAAACGGAGCGGGTCTGCTGGGTTCGCTGGTGCATGTCAATGAGAGGAGGACAGATCACGTTGGATCCGGAGGAGTTACCCGCCCGACAACTTAACATTTAACAGGAGCAAATCCGACACGCATTCAACACCACAAACTTGCGGGATACTTAAATGGACCTAGTGGTCCTGCCGAAGGGGGTTAGGGGAAAGAAAGGAAGCTCCGTAAATGGCCAGTCTTTAGGTACTTTAAGGTGAGGACTTTAACTGCCAAGCCGCACTGCTGTGATGGACGCCAGGTTGTCGGAAGAGGTTTTTAAATGACTAAAAGCGTCGAATAAGCGCCCCAGACACACATGCACGCCATCCCCATGTTCCTGGAGTAACTGCGAGCTCCGTGCCAGATCATCAGGTGAAGACAGGGTTCCAGTCCACACCATGAAGCGATTTCTCTGGGATGCGATCTTCCTTCTTACCGGTGAGTCAGCTTTACTTAATAGATCGGCTGAGTTTATAGTTCGGTGTTTGGGATTGGAAACCTTGTGAGCAAGAGATTACTTACCTTTGCATATGTTATTTCCAGTGCATGTCAACGTTAGCAGGGCAGCAGCTTAATGAGACCAATCTCACGTGTGAAAAATTAAATCAAAGAGCGGGATCCGGGAGTGTAGTTTGGTTACTCGGCACAGAAATTACGTGATTACGGTAAAAACAAAAGAAAGAACACGCGATGGCCGCAGTAAACACTAATACGAAGGTGATTGAATCCTAATCCTACTGATATGACAGGCCCTTCTCGTTTTCCATTCTTTTGACACATGTGGACGGTGTCAGTCAAACTGTAATTAATGCTTCTCCTTAACATTTGTCATTGCTTATTGCGTTCAACAGCTCAGGTAGCCTAAATTTTTAAGTTTTTTTTTTAATTATTTCTAATCATCATATTTTTTAATGAACTCTCCTTAGTTCGGTACATCGCAGGCCTATTTATTAATGATAATATTTTATTTTTACCGGTCAATTATAATTATTAATATTAATAATAGACCATGTTAATGATATTTTTTTTTTGTTATTAGTGTTATTATAATTATAATCATAATCTAGTATTAATAGTAGTAATAGTAGTAGTAGTAGTAATAATAATAATAATAATAATAATAATAATAATAATAATAATAATAATAAAAAACTAATACTAGTTGTACATATTTTCCTTGTTTGATGTAGTTTTGATATATAGGGAGAAATGCATGGTCCGTTACGGGAAAATCCTACACAGGAATTCAGATACAGGTATCTTACAATGTCCCGAACGAACACCACACGGGGGAAGCAAACAGCAGTTTCAGTGAATTATTTGATAAATCATTTAATCGAAAGCTACTCTTGTTTTATTCTTTGCTTATGGCAAAACACGTAAATATGCTGAACCCTGCACATTTTTAATAAAAAATGGCGATTAAAGAGAGTTAATGTAACGTGATCATTGTTAGCAGCTTAGCGGAGCTGATAATGTACATCGAGCCAGATCGGATACGCCTTCTTACAAGTATATTGCTGTTCAAACACATTATATGCAAACATGTACTGTTAATAAGATCCTTCAAATAAAATACATAGGAAATATGTTCGGTATTATCACTGAATGTTGCTGCCAGGGTTTGGTTGAATGAGATGTGATTCTTAGCGGGATGCTGATTTGAGTTCTTACTCTGGTTGACTATGCCTTTTAATTTCATATAATCAATTCATAGCTGTATATTGAGCTTTCACTGGTTTCCTGTACCCTAAGCTGCCTGGGTCCATCCAGGCCTTTTCTACAGCCTTGACTAGGAAAAGCAGTTGGATGATGGTTGGATATATTGTGTTTTTGCTCTGTCTTTAAAAATTTAAAGCTGAAACTTGTTTGTCTTTCTTTCTGATATCATCAGGGTCTCTCTTTACTTATGGACAGGTCCAGGAAAATTCCACATCAACACCAGTAAACTGTAAGTCTGACAGTGTCATGTCTGTTCTGTTAATGAAGGATGTCTATGCCATTTTGGTGGAATACTACAACTAAACTTAATAAAAGCTAAATAGAAACAGTATTAAATAAGGAAATATTGGTTTGAGAAGTTCTTAGTTCACAACAGAAGGTATCCCCAAAACTGCAATTAAAAATGCTATATGTCATCTGTTTGTGTCATGTGACTAACTTGAGGTTTCTGACTAGTTTCTGATTGGAAGATGACATAATGAAAGGATTAAGGAGTCTGTTAACCTTTCCCAGCCCAGATCTAGTTTCTTTACGAAGGTTTAGGACGTTCAAGGTCTAGACATGCACACACACATGCTTTATGAACTACGCTGTGTGGTTTTATACCATTTATATAATTAATTGTCTCAGTTCTGGAAAAAAATGACTTTGAGAAAATGCTAACAGATGTAGAAAAAGGAAGAATGGGAGTGAGTTGAGAAGCCAGCGATTCTGTAATGCCTGACTTCATTTAAATGCTTCCTGTCCTCACAGTGCCAAAAATTAGATGGGGAAAATAAAGACAAACTAAGACAAGGGTGAAAGTTGGTTAGCCGGCGCGAGAATAGAGCCCACTTGAAAGGTTTGCAGAGAAAATAGAAAGACAGCTTTTCTGTTGGTTGTGTGCCAAGGTCCTGATGTAAATGGACGCGGAGTCACTGAAATGCATTTTCCTTTATAGATGTATCTGCTTTCATGCAACCCACCATTTCCAAAGTGTCTCTGAATGCCAGTTTGTGACAGTCGGGTGCTTTGGAAAGGACCCCTGGCTCATTGTTGTTGCAAATCACTCTCATCCTTTGTGATTCCTCATGTTATCCCCTTAGCTGTCCTATAGTATTAGTGACAAGAGGAAAATCAGGCCCTTCAGATTATAAAAGGGACTTTAGAAGTTATAAGTAGAAAAGTTAAAATGAACACAACCCCCAATCTTCCAAAATAGCCCTAGCCCAACAAAATATTTAACTTCTTGCACAAAGCTTTTGAAAGCCTATCGTTCAGGGTCATGCTGGCTTGTCCAAACAGTCTCCAGGCTCCTGTCTGCTGTTCAGTTGACTCTTCAAAGAGTGATTGATGTCTGGTACCAAAAGCAGACTCTGGCCTGTTCGAGATGAGCCCAGTTCAGGTTCTGCTATTTCAGGTTCTTCACATTTCAAAGGCTGTCTTCTATGGGAGCACAAATATTGCAGCTGGAAAAAATAAACATTTGGGCTTGTCAAATTTCAGAGCAGGACTGCAGCCAACTCATGTCTTCCCAAGGAACCTGTAATGAGCTCTGAGTTTTTAGTTTGCCTGGGGGCTGAATGGATCTGATGCTCTCAGGCATATAACTGATACTCCGTTCAGTATGTATCACCTATTTATTTATCATTTATTCATCTATTTTATACATCACAATTGTTTATTCATTTTTATTTCAGAGGATGTAGCATGTTGTACTGAGCAATGTCTTTCTCTTCTGTGTGGTTGTGAAATGTGCAGGTCTTACAAGCAAATCCTTCAATGTTACACCAGTTTTCTGAATCTAAATCCTAAAACCCAAAAAGATATCAGCCTGTTTCCCATCTGCATGATCCATACCCACCTCTCTCTTTACCTGCCCCCACTCTGGACGATCCGGTCCATACATGTCTCTGTCCCCCCCTGGATGATCCATATCCGTCTTTCTCTGTGTCTGTCCCCCACTCTGTATGAGCTATACCCTTCGCTCCCTGTGTCTGTGCCCCACTCTGTATGAGCTCTACCCTTCGCTCCCTGTGTATGATCCATACCCGTCTCTCTCTGTGCCTAGATGATGCAGCTCGTTACTGTCTCAGTGTCTCCCGTTGGTGTTTGGCATTCTCCAGCCTATCACTTCTGTCACCATCCAGGGATATCCCAGCTGGTCTTTCCCTGTCCTTCATTCTGAAGCATGCAGTTAATCTGTCTTCTCACAGACCCGCTGGCAGCTGCTGTTCACTCTCACTTTGGGGACTGTCCAGATTCTCACAGCCAGTTCTGCTTCCACGGGACCTGCCGGTTCCTGGTGCAGGAGGACACCCCAGCCTGTGTGTAAGTGCATCCAGACACATGACCAACAAATATTCTTTCAGAAACATTCTTCCAGTGAGTTTGTAAATCTTTAGGTTGTAATCGTTGAATTAATATCTAGGGTTTGCATTACAGCACCGACGTGTCCGAATGGGCTGGCCTTTGTGCTTTGCTGCTGGACGTTATTTACTGGGCTTTGACTTCTGGAGCCCAAGATCAGTGTTTTTCTTTTAAAACCAGTTTTCTGGCTCCCCGGCAGCTGATGTATTTTCTTCTGGCATCTCTCTTCCATGCTTGTTACTATCTCCTCAAACGGTTCCATTGCTCCTCGCCGCCCCACCACGTCGCCGGACTCTCCCACCCTGGATCGCAGGTGTCATGCTGGCTTTGTGGGGATGCGCTGTGAGCACGCAGACCTGCTAGCGGTTGTGGCAACCAATCAGAAGCAGCAGACGGTGGCCACGCTGCTGGTGCTGTGTGTGATTGGCTCTGCAATGCTGATACTCTTCTTTAGCCTGGTGCAGTAAGTACACACTAAATCTCGAGGCATGTGCACACTCACAGAGTTCTTGAAATGCACACTGACACTGGGTCTGCCCCCCCCTCCCCTCCCCCAGCTGGTACTGATACACTCTGCCTATACCTTTGTGAATCTTCATCTTCTTGCTTTCGATCTTCCTTCCCCACAGCTGCTGTCGAAGGCGGGGACTCTGCAGCCCGGGTCGCGCTGTCCTGCGATGCCATACTGAGAAACACAGCGCATTCCTGACGGACAGTGCCTCCTGCTGTCCTTCTGAAACAGGTACTTCACATCGATCGCGTCGATCTTGACACCGTTCATCTAAGATGCGTGTGTAGTTATTGGCTTTCTGTTTTGCTGAGGATCCATTGTTCAGTCAGTCGGTGTAGAAAGGCTTTAATTAGATGTGCCATTGGAGGTTAATTTTAAGGTATTCCATCATCCGCCTCCGGGGCTAATTGTCAGCCAGCAGGTCTGCATTAGCGGCTTCCAGCTTCTTGTCTGATTAGAGGTCTGTGCACAGTTGAAACTACTCGACGGGACCCATCTGTTTTCACAGAGTGCATGTGGATGACAGGAGTGTGCAAAACCCGGGGGAGTTTGGGCCAGTTTAGTCCCAGGTCGTCTTTCCTCTGCCTGATTAATACTCATTAAACACTCTGATGGCACTCAAAGACCTGAAAAGTCACCATTGAACTTCTGTACATGACAAGTGTAATTGTAATGGTGCAACGACATGGCGGACAGTGTTTGGCCAAACCAGCTCTCTTCTCTTCCTTTAGAAACATCTTGCATGTTTGTTACTCTTGGTATCACCTCCCCCCCACACACACACACACACACACACACACAATTCTCCTCAGACCATCATATCTGTGCTGTAACCATATCTATGCTGTACAATAAAAATCTGCACTAGATGTTTATCATTTGGGCTCCCTTTCTGACCCTATTCATACCTACCGTGACCTAATCCATGTCAGGAGGGAGACTATGAGCTGCTCTAGGTGTTACAAACTACTTTAAAACTGAAAGGCTCCCGTGCTCAGCTAAATTGTTCGGTTTGTCTTGTTCTTTTACTGGTTTGTTTCTTTGATTGAAATACTGATTCAGCTGTTTCACATTATCATTAGAGAAACATGCAAGATTATAGGAGACTGACCAATCAGCACACAGCAAGAACGCGGTGCTTAAGTGAAATATGGGTGCATTTTGATTGAAATGGTTGACATGGTAGTTTACAAACCCTGCCATAGCTCACAGTGTCCTTCCTGACGTGGACTCGGTGCTCACTCTGTGTATACCCATTTCATGTCTATTGATTTACTTGTCCTTATTGATTATGCTGGAATATGACCCATGGGGTTTGCCATATTGTGCCGTCTTGTGACGCACATGCAGCCCTGGGTCTTGTTTGAGCCCTTAGCTGCCACATTCTCAGGAGGGAATAGAACCTGTAATGTTCATGAGCGAACATGGACAGGTGTCTCTTTTTGTGGCTCTTTGTCATACCACCTGTTTAACTAGCACATTCACTTAAAAAACGAATAGAAAACAAGCTAAGGATGTGAACGTCAACTGGGAGGCAGAATGCAGTCAATTACTGCTTGCAGATGATTTTTCTGTTTGTTTTATCTGAAACTAAGAACCACAGTTACTGATTCTCACCCATGTGCTTCTGACTCTCTTTCTGCAGTAGTGTGAGAGCTTCAAACTCATCAGTAGTTTGAGAGTTTTCCTTTCTTTTATTTTTTTTTTCCTTTTGGACCATCTGAATACCCTCCAGCGTCCTCCTCTGGCTCCCCGACCCTCTCGCTGAAATGCCACTTCAAGGCTTCAAGGAATTTCTATGGATGCTAAACCAAACCCCATGTCAGAAGTCCTGCTCATGCAGATGGACTAAGATGAATATGGCTCAGAGGCTCCGCCTCCCCGTACTAGAGAAGAACACAAAGGACAGGAAGTGTTTTCTTATGTGGCCAGAATTATTTACGATCTCATTATGACTATACTGGAGACTGAACCTCAAGATGGAGGCTTTTCTTTGCATGAAAAAGACATGGTGGGACAGCTGGAGAATAGTGGAGAGTGAAGAGGCAGGCAGACGGCATTGAGAGCTGCTGAAGTGATGTGTCTCTGCTCTGACGCGAACTGAAGGGGAAAGACTAACAGTTAAGCTAGACTGCGAGTGAAAAGGAGACTGTTCTGTATTTCAAAGAAATGCTTCATAACAGAGACCACCCCTGGTCCTCATTGTCAGAGAGTGGCTTCCACTAAAGAGGACCTGCTTAAGATTCAAGATGCAGCGAGATCCCCTCAAGGAAGATACCCACCACTGACATTTCTTACCGTTTACATCCGTTGGTCTAAAGCTCAACGAGGCCATGTGTTCACCGGTAAAGATTTGACGTTACATGCAGTAACATGAGCCACCAGCAGTTATAATGGGATTCAAGCAAGTTGGTGCTTTGTTCGACGAAACACTTCTACGTTTATTTTTACTGTGTTTGAAGTGTTTCTTGCAGCTTGTGCTGGATATTACAGAAATATACATATTAAATAGCTGCAAAAACAAACTCTCTTGGGAAAATAACGACTAGGTGAGACTGTGTGGTTCGATGGACCTGCTTGTATATTCTGGTGCTTCCAAGACTTTCGAGTCACATTGGTGTTGTTTTAGTGGTTTTGTATTTATTTTAATTTCCATATATTCAGACGCTGTCATTGTCTGTTCAACACTGTACAACACACCTTTTCTAGTATATAAAAAAAACCCTCAGATGTGTGTGTCACAGGTTTAGAGTTTAACAGTGAACTAGATAATTAGTAGAGTTGTTAGAAGCATAGAAGTAAATATAGAAAGGAAGTTTTAAATGTCGGTGAAACTACCCCGCCGGGCAGTTTTGCCCAGATAACAATTTAACAGAAAAAAATGAACCTTTGTATGGTGACTACTTTGTCAAACATGACACTGCTGCTTTGAACAGAGCTCTGTTCACTAGTTGGATAGACACTATATTTAAGCCCACGTGGCTTTAACATGATGTGGACGCAAACTCATTCATAAGCAGATGCTGATATATTTGTCACTTTAAATCTGCACTTGCAACACTGAGACGTCGATATGCACTTTCACAATGCACTCAAGGGGCGGCTGGTCTTGCCGGTTATTGCACTGTTGGCGAATTGCACAGCGCGTAACCATAGCGCCGGAGTGGCCGTGAGCACCCTGCTCTTCACAGAGGCTCTGGAGGAAACGGTGTCACTGAGGTGTTACTTTTGCGTGAATGACGAGTGTCCACATCTAACTGATGTATGAGAGACTTGGATAAGAGAAGCTGAATAAGGGAATTTGTCTGCAGAAACCTTAGTAAATCACAAAATCATATGAAATTTCTATGTGGCACTAATGATTTAGCTAATTTTTTTTTTTTTTATTAGAAATTTCCAAGCGATTTCCTGTAGCGTTTGGCTTCTCTGTGGTCCTTTGTCATGTTTAAAGCTTGTTCTTGAATTTTCAAAGGGTTGGGTGAACTTTGTAAAACTTTGGCTACAGAAAACCTGTCTGATTGGCAGAAAGTTTATGTGAAGAAAAAATATTGTAAAAGCCCCACCAATCAGAAAAGGGATAGGATGAAGGTCTTTGCTATTCATCTCTCATCATTGACTCTTTGGCTATTTGTAAATCAATCAGATTTTCTGTTTGAGTGAAATATAAATGTTGTAAAATAAATATGAATCCCATACAGTTGACTATTTACCGTACAAGTACAAACTGATTGTTTTTTTTCCTTATGAAAATTTTTCAGAAATATGAAGAGAGAATGTCTGCCGATTTAGTTTAAAGCGAAGAGGTTTATTTGAGGCAGCACGCTATGCTATCTTGGTATGTTGTCAGATGTAAATGAATCTGCACAGACATGAATTGTGTGCACTGCAGTGGATGTTGATGTTCATTAAAAACTGCCGAAAGGGACTATTTACTGTATGTATTTAAAGGTATGAATGGAATGCAGAAGGAGAGATAACAAGCAGTAAGACTGTAAACGGACTGGGGAACCATCACTGTGAATGAGTCCTGATGCCCCCTCATGACAGGAAGAGCTTGTCGAATGTCTGCCGTAGAAATGCTCATTGTCAGCACTTTGTGTGGCTTTCAAATAAGACTGGAAATTATAAAGAGCCCCTTTCTGTGAGTGTTTGTCTGCATGCTTCTCCGTTACCCGTCTCCTTCCCATCCACCCAAAGGCCGTAACCTGCTTGCTTTCTGTTCATTTTCACCCATGTTTGGTTCAGCTGTTTCAGGAGGGACACTGGAACCCAGGTCGAGGCTGCTGAAGGAGCTTTAGCTCTCTAAATATTCTCCCTTTATTTTCATGCTGCATTCATGCTTTGAATGGTTCGGCGGGAGCAGAGAGGGACGCAGCTTTCCAGTGTAAATACTTAATCAGCTTGCTGACTATTTATTCAGTGGATTTTTTTTTGTTTTCTTCTGAGCTTTAGAATTTCAGACCATTAATCATTCACTCACATTCACCCCATCACGTCTTTCCCTTATACCGCATTTCCATTTTGATTCTCTCCTACCCCTGCTCTCTCTCTCTCAGATGTGCATTGCTTTTTCTTGTTTGATGATCCCCTCATGCGGGCGACCGCATTGCCGTGGAGCCTTTAGAGGCCCCTGGCTGAGCTGCTAAGACCTGCTTTTGATTTCAGGGGCTCTTCAGAGCCTCTGTAAAAGCGCACCAGACTTCTAAAGAGGGGCCACAGCTAAAATCGAAGGGCAGCTCAGTTTGACCTCCAGGGCGGTGGAGGACACAACCAGGCAGGGGGAGATTGATCGGTGGAAGGAACAGCCTCCTTGATACCTGACTCGTCGTATGTGTACAGTTTGTCCCTGTGGCTGTGAGCTCAGTCCGTGTGGCTGTGAGCTCAGTCCGTGTGGCTGTGAGCTCAGTCCGTATGGCTGGTTCTGTTCAGGGTGTGTACCCTGTGCTATATGGGCCCACTGAGCCTGTCCCCGTCACCACAGCCAGCTAGATGGTGGACATTTACAGAATTAGTGTATTAGTGTAGAGATATGTGTCTGTAGCTCCCTCACTCTCATTTGCTGAAGGTTTTAGTAAACAAAAGCGGCAGCATTTTAGGCGTATATCAGTACATTATACACTTAAGGGGTGAGGGAGGTATTTAGTAAAGTATAATTGTTAATAAGACTGGTCTTGTAAACCGTGTAAATTTCCTTATAAAATACCTGAAATGCTACCAGCTACTCAGCTCAGTGAAAAGTAAATTTTAAACAGTTATTGTATTTTTTTTTTTGTCCATTTTGGATGTAAACGGCAGTATAATATGAGTATTAAAATGTGGATTTTAAAACATTTTAAATCAACATCGTGGATTTTTACCTTTTTTAACTAAAACATTTTACGTGTACAAAGAAAAATAAAATAATATTGCATGTATGATGTATGTGAAGTTGCCTTGTATTGTGTTTTCATGGAGTATCCATACCACGATGGGGGGGTTTGGAGATTAACACTGATGTGGAGCTGTAGTAGTGCAGCAGGAGTGCACTCCCAAAGACACACATAGTTTCGGGGCGGGGGGGTTGTAGCACTGATGTGAAGCTCCCAAAAATACACACAGTCTGTGCCACACTGCCATCTACTGACTCAATAATGGAAATAAGACCTGAATCAGTCAACAAACATTTTATCATGATGATATTACTGAAAGGAATATATTGTGCATGCAGTGTCGTTGTTCAGTGTAAAGGCTAGTTGATGGGCTAGTATCATAGATGCCATCTCTGTTCTTTAATTTTACCATAAATGACAGATATACTCCTTAATCACACACAGTACTAGCATCATGCTTCTCAGGGAATGATGTTTGAACATTAGGCTTTATAATGGCAGTCCTACCTGTATGTAGTGAGCTTCATTACAAAGGGATACTGAGAGCGATGTGCCATATGAACATAAAGTTATGTTTCACAAGTAACGTAATATAATGGCTTGGATTAGCACATGCTAATACGTTAATTATATGTACATTTGCTCAAACGAGCATAGTGATTTGGAAAGAAGGTTTCACCCAGAAAAATCCATGAAAAGCTCAAAATGTACCTGTTTTATTGTGGGTAGGTTTGCAAAAACACAAGCTAGATGGCAAATGACGAATGGACAACCCTGCAGAAGAGTCACTTAATATGATATCAGTCCACTACTACGCCTGCGAATGAGGAGAGACTGGGGCAGCAAGCCGACCAATGGCATGTCCAGGTGGGCTGGCTCAAAGTGCGGGGGGAACGTCTGCAGAAGAAAAGCATCAGCGGCAGTGTGCCGGAACACCAACGAGCACTGCCTTCTTCCGGCCGAACAGGAAGAAGCCGAGGCCCGCGCCGGCAGCCAGAGCCGTGCAGAGGTAGCCATTGTAGCTCATAAAGAGCAGCATGAGGAGGTAGCTGAGCACCACCTGGGTGATGTGCAGCGTGGCCTGCAGCAGGTGACACAGGCTGAACATCTGCTGGCTTGGAGAAGAGGACAGAGAGGAGAATGACACTGCATTGCTCCACTGGTGCATGCAGTGACACTGCCTGTCTTTCACTGGATTTTATCCTTGCCAGTTGAGTGGTTTTTCCCTTTTACTGGGGAAGGAATATAAGTGATGTGATTGAGGCCTCTCCTCCTACCCTGTGCTCCTACCCAAGCAGGGATCAGGCTAATGAATTACATTATGTGAAGTTTTTCATACCCCCTCCAGGCCCAAGTCTATGAGAACTGGACATCTGATTGGCATTCTGACCTTTACTTTGTATTGAATTGCATGTGCAAATCCGAGCAGCTAATTGAGTTACTAGATCACAGCAGAGGGTGCATGCCTTCCACTTTCATAAAATACAAGCAGAATACACAAGACATGAAACTGTGTATAAAATAGCAGCCAGTGTCCCACTGCGGGCCAGGCCCGCTTACCCAGCCAACTGCTGCATTTCTGTCCGCACGCTCCCATCAGGCATAGGAACAGCTCCGGTGTCAGGGCCTGGTCCGGCCCGTCTCCCACGCAGCAGAACCTCGCGGCCAGCCTTCAGCCCCTCAAAGAATACGGCCAGCAGAAACACAGCGATGCAGGCCAGGGCTGTCTCTGCGGCAAACAGCGAACGCAGGGCCGTGTCTCGGTCTCATGTGCCGACGGTCGGTAGAGATCAGACATCAGGCCCAATTCTGGCTAAAGCTACACACAGGAAATGGAGGGAAGAGCTAAGGAGGTAAACTGGCAAACCTGTGGGCGAATTGAGGATGAGGCCAGGGAACAGGAGCTGAAGGGCACGGCAGTCCAGGTGGAAAGTCATCTGACGCCGAGAGGGAGGAGCAGGAGTCATAGCAAGCTGCAGATGTTCCTGAAAGCCCGGCTTTGAGTTAGTGTATGAGCCAGGGAGCTATTTAAAGAAATACTGAATGCAAACATTCACTTATTTACTATGTTTTTTGATGTTTACTATGTTTACTATGGGGGGGGGCTGGCTCTAGTGCGTAGAGAATGGGTTGCAAAATTCTCAAAGTTAGAAATTTTCCAAGGGAGTTATTGGGAAAAAACTGGAAATTTGCAGAATTGCAGGTTAGCCTATAACATAAAACTTAATTGTAGTTAAAAGACATCTTTACAGCACTAATAATGATTTCATTGTGTAACCAAATGCTTGTAAGTATGATTACAGTATGTGTGCATGAAAGCAACCCAAAATAAGCATCTGCATCAAAACACCTTTGCTTCTCGTGGAGTTCCACAGAGTTCAATATTTCTAAAATTCCCTAGCTTAACTTCCCATGGAAAGTTTCTGGAATGTTTTCAGATATTTTTCGCCCCCTTGCAACCTTTCTTCCATGAAAAGTTTCTGGAAATTTACTGGAAATGTGGAGACAGTCTTTTAAGATGTTATTTCAAACTACTGTGCATCATCTGAAACCTGTAACTACAACCAGTATCATTATAATAAATTCCACAAAGTGGTCTCTGTCCTCATTTGTGGAAAGGCTCATTTTTACAATTTCACATATTTACAGTTCAGGAACATACATATATAAGTACACACAAACATAAAAATGGAACTAAATGTATAGCACAAAAAGGACACTTCCACACTTCAATTTTATGCTGTAATGAGTCAATTAATCTATGACATGACAATGAATGCAGACATGCTAAGATAAAATACATGGGGGTTCCATTAAGTTAATTAACTATATTTTGAGTCACTGACCATTAGATTGTGACTCTGGGTGACATTACTGAGGTCACTTCTGTGAATCCCAGAATTGGAGTATTTTGCAGAGGAGGAGATGGTGGTGTGGTGATCATTGAAGTGCTGTGAGGAGTCCATCTTACCCTGAGAAGACAGAGAGGAGGGCAGAGAATCAGAAGAAATGATGATGGGTGTCAGCAGCAGCGTGACGAATGAACTAGACTGCAAGTGCATGTGATGAGCCATTCGTGCAGACAGACTGGGCATTACAAGGCACTAAACAGAGCGCTTATGTTTATGGAGAGAAGAAGCAAACATCCTCGCTTTGAAAGGAGGTTATGTATAAACATGCTGTCTGCAATCTAGCTGCTGCACAAAAAAACTCCATTATCTGAAACAGACTGGACATGACACTGATCCAATTTGGGAAAATACCACAATCTAAGAGACAGAAAAATGCAGAGGTGACCTGAACTTATGCAATTACCCAGCCTCCCCTGGGCAGGAAAACAGCCTCTGTGAGGAAAGGACATAAATCAGGGCTCCTTTTGGTCCTGTGTGGGGTCAGCGACTGCCTCAAGGGGGTTGGACAGCAGAAGGATTAGGAGTGATGGACTACACACACAACTGATGATGAAACCTGGGAGAAGCTCACCCAAACAGGACTGACACATGGAAGGAGGTCGTTATTCGAGATGAAAGAACATGGAAGATGAAATTACTCAATACACCCTGGCAGTAATATAGGGCGATAGTAAAATGTGATGAACAAACTACAGGATGGGACAGACCCCCTGTGATCCTGACTAGGTTAGGTTAGAAGATGGATGGATGGATGGATGGATGGATGGATGGACGGATGGGTGATCGAGAACTCTATTAACTGAAATAGTTATTAACAAACAAATCAATCAGTTCACAACGTTAAAGAAATTGTGTCAGCTTGAAACATTAAAAAGAGAATAAATTTTAGGTTCTAAAAAACTTTTACCAAGAGAGCAGTTGATGAAGGACTCCTATCCAAAAAGTAGGGTACTGGAATAATTTGACCAGCTCTGTATTTTCATGTATTAATTTTTTATATTTTGACTTATTTTCAGATATTATGTAAAACTACTAAAGCATTTACAGAGCGCGAAACCAGGTTTGCTAATTATTATGCACGGTGTCCAAGGGTCAAACACAGGCACGTGCCCGAACAAGTGAAAGTGCTCCCCTTTCATTTGCAGCGAGGGTCTCCCGCGGAAGGTAAAATTCTCACATGTAAAAACAACTTAACAGACAGTGATGGATTTACACACACACATACACACACACACACACACACGTACAGATATATAAATTTCAAATAAACCACTTGACTGCTTACAGTGACATTGATGTGATACATTCCAACGAACACTCATACATCAATTTAACAGATGCATAATTATTATCAAAGCAACAATGTGGTTGGGATTGTTCGTTTCTGTTTGACCAGCACCCACACATTATAAGCAGATTAGCTACAAACAGAATGGCTTTAAATAAAATGCAGTGCTCACCTCTGATACGGCTATCTCATAAAGCTTCTCTCACAGATCCATATAAGTAGCAGATCAGGGTGTGATACAAAGACTACGCTGTGCTGCGCAGGCAGCCTGGTAAAGTGCCACTGCGCTGTCTCATTATTGATTTAATTGATGCCCTTAATTTGGCTCTGATCACACCGCAGAAGCCTGTGTTTAAACTGTCTCGAGCTTTTCTCCCCGCTTCTCCCGATCATTGTCTGTCTCCCGCCCGGCGTTCGCTGTCCAACGCTCTTCTTCCCTCCCTCCTCATGCACGGCCCTAATCCAATTACCAGGAGATATATCTATTTTAGCTAATCAATGTAAAAATCAAGGCTTCATGAATGTGCTGTTTGAAATGCCATAAAGTTAACGCATTGCCAAACTAAATATATTTCGCCGGTTGTTTAAAAAGTAATGATATATAACAAACAACCCTTTATTATCTCATGGCTCGTTGAACAGGATGCTTTTTCATTGTATATTATATATTCTTTGTGTATATATACCTTTTAATAGTTAAACTGATTAGAATTGAAAGTTCTTCTTTTGATAATGTAAGGGATTATAATAATATCGAATGTTACATAACCCAATATCCAGACGAGCAGCGACAGGACAGGCTGCGCAGGCCATGGCCTGGGGCCCCCGAGCTGCGAGGGGGCCCCCGAGGCCAGGCCATTACTTAGTCCATAGCAACGACAAATCTTCTTTATTTGTGTATTGCTTTTTACAAAAGTGAAAATGAGGGTTTTGTATTCAGTAAATTATCTTTGTTGATATTATCAACTTACACTTTACAGTAAAATAAAAGTAACAAACTTTACCTTGCCAGGGGTGGGGGAGTTGGGGGGCCCCATGGAGTTTTTTTACCTAGGGCCCCCAGAGTCCCTAGAGTCACCTCTGCCTATTACAAATCATTAAATTGAAGTCATTGAAGGAAATGCTGAGTTTTGCCTGATGGACCCTCATGCTGCGTGTGTGCCACCTACTGGTGATTCTTGGTAAAAAAAAAAAAGTGGTCCAGCCTTTAGGGAGCAAAGGCCTGTTTTATGAGCAATTTACCTTCTTATATCCATCCATTTATTATACCTGCTTAATTTCATTTTAGATAATCACAGCTGGCCCCACGATACTGCACTAGTCAGCACTAGTTCTATTAATGTGAAGAGTCACTAAAGACACTTTATTCCTGATCATACAATACCGTGGGATAGTAAGGAATATATGTCTGGGGCTGATTACACTTTAATTTTATGCTTCACTTGTTATGACCAATACAAAACCTTGATCTGACTGACTTTCCTCTGGACCTCCTGCATTGCATTCTGACCATCAGTCCGCATTCTGCTTTAACCGTGAAGGCAGCTCGTCGAGGGACAGAAGGCGATCCTCGGAGGGAACCTGCGCTGACCCCTCGCCTCCTCCTCTGTCCAGGAGGAATCCCCGGATGCCGAGGGAGCGTGCGGCCAGGTAGTCGTTGATGTAGCTGTCCCCAACATGCGCCACGCTGGCAGCCGGCAACCCGCACTTCTGCAGAGCCTTCCGGAAGATATCTGGGTTGGGCTTGGCCACCCCGGCTCCTTCTGAGGTCACCAGAAAGGAGAAATAGGGCAGAAGCCCATATCCATGCAAAATGCTTTCCAGCCGGAGGTCAAAGTTGGACACGACTCCCAGCTGCAGGCCCAGAGAGGCGCAGCTCCTCAGGGTCCGTTCAGAGTCACTGAACACCTGAAGGAAACACGGTCATTTTACCATGTCACCTGCTGATGACATCATTGCAGACACAGAAATAATTAAGTTATATTGTAGTTTAATTCCACTTTTTAATCACTTAACCATTGCTTGGCAGAGTCTAAACTTGTCATACTAACTTATAATTATTTATTTTAAGCATTTGTAGGAATACGAATTGCACAAATCCTGCCTGCCTGATGCCTCTTGAGGGGCTCCATACAACAGACAAGCATGGGTCCTTAACTGAATGCAGCTGCTGAGATGGGCAGCGCCACCTGCTGCCTCTTACCTCCCAGCTTTCCGGTCTGCTGAAGCCGTGGTACAGATTGTGCGCTAACCTGTCCAGGAGGACTTCGTCCCGCACGCCGCACTGTAAGAATGTGTCTCGTACTACCCGAGCCCACCAGGCTTGCCCTCCAAGCCCCTGGGCTATGCCGTAGTTGGGGTAAATTGCAGATTGCTGCTTGTAAGCTCGACGGAAGGCGGTGTCCACCTCGGCAGGAGACAGGGTTAGGCCGGCTCGCGTAGCCTCCTCGCAGTACTGCTGTCCCACTGACCTGCGCACACGCAGCAAAGTGTCCTTCACGTCCCACAGCACCAGACGCACTGCCCTGGACATTGTCATCCCTTAAACGGGACAGAGTAAGCAAAAAGGACCTTACTGATTTGCATGCTCTTATTTGTGAAACACCCCCAATAAAGCTCACATTTCACTCCACTGTACCTGAGCAGTCTGCTGGGTCGCCTTTTAATTTTCTATTTTTGCTTCCTGCATTCTTCAGGGACGTGTAGCTCTGGATATACAGACCTGGTGAATAAGATCGATCTGTTTTGTTTTCTTAATACCTGTGTCCATTTACATAAGATTACAAATAACCTTGTTAAAAAAAACAAATATGTGTGTGTGTGCATGTGGAAAAACTCCCTCTGGAAACAACTGGTAAAAAACAAAGGTTCTGCTTTTTACGGCAATACATTTTTACTTTTCTTTTTCTCGCGCGAATCCCGATAGGCTAACCATACAATTGTTTTGTGCCGAAATAAAAAATCTAATCGGAATTTTCCTGTCACGCACGGGTTTTGAGGGACACGCAATTGAACTTTACGCTGTACGCAGTATTTACCATGATGGAAATGACTCCTGTAAAAGGTATAAGTGTATGATTTTCTGCTGTGCTGAAGATCAGGAGTATTTCTCTTAAGGTTCCACCAACTGATCACCAACGGGCAGGGAGCTGGGTATCAGGGAGAAAGCAGGATCCTGTCATAGCGTATTAGACCATGTAAATAGGCAAAATAGACTTACACTATATACTTTGGCCCTTCAGAAAGGTCTTAAAAATGTTAACAAATACTTTTTTTTCTCCAAAATTTAACTTTCATATACCCATAAATTACTTAATAAGGAATTAGTTTTCCCAAAGCCATTTTATTGATAAAGATTAATGAGGTACATTGAAAATCCTGTCCGGGGTACAGACACGGATGCGTAAAGGAAAAGAAGAAGAAAATGACAGATTTTGAAAGTCACTTATAATCTTATTTGTCTTCTGTGCTTCCTTGTTTTTGCACATTTGTAAATAAGACACACCACCAGTCAAAAGCTTTCGCACACACTGAGGTTTTCTACATTTCCATGTTACCCCACTTATTTACTAAAAATATTCAATATTCTTTGCTAACAAATACATTTATAGTATGTTCACCATTTTATTAGCAAGAAAATATATATTTGATTCATCAAAGTAACATTTTCTAGGAGTTATAACAGCAGAGAAAATTCAAGGCATTCATTCTACAAGGGACGTTAAATACTGCGCTGTTTCATGACCGTTTTTCAGCTCCCCACAAAGATCTATGAATGCAGTCAAAAAACTAAAAATGTCAAAAATATTATACTTGGTTGGTTACTTATGGTTAAGGTTAGGACTGGTTAGGGGTTACGGTCGTCATGTTGGGATTAGTGTTTTCCCCATATAAATGAATGGAGAGTCCCCACAAAGATATAATTACAAACTTGCGGGTGTGTGTCTGTATTGTTTGAATAATATATTATTATTTGAACTGCATTGAATGTAACATAGCAAAGAATATCTCCAATAACTTTATTAACTTTATCTTTCACTATATCCTTGTTCCTAGTAAAGATGTGTTCAAATGTGTCATATAAATACAAATCAAACAGGAAATCCTCAAAAGGCATAAAACACCACTGTGGGTCTCATCAAACACAACAGCGCATTCCTTAGGCTTAATGAGCACCTGAAATATTTCAAGAAATTCACCATGTTAATAAATGACCTTCTGAAATCAACAACTGCATGACCAGAAGAATTCCGTGTTCAAACCAAGAATGATTAAAAAAAGCAATTTGTTTTTCAATAATGTATTAATAAGGAATTATACTATCAATATAGCCTGAAAAGGTGTCATTCAGAAACTATAGGTTTCTATGCATGATTCACACACGTGACAGTGCAAATGCAGTGATACACATGTGCATATCTGAAATTAGCATAAAAAGTACACCCCCTATTTGTTCTGTGACAAAATCTTTGATGACTTATACTATTACTTTCAGCTGCTTTGAAAATCATTGTCTTAAATGCTCTGTTTTGCTTCGGATGTGGGAATATAAGCATAATCCGAAATCTTATGGTACAATTCCCTCAGTAGGTGGCAGTATTTACATTTTATTTTCGATAATGTTGGCGATCTCGGACGCAGCTTCCAGGGGCGGATTAAGGTACACAGAGGCCCCTAGGCTACAGTAGTCTGTGGGCCCCTCAACCCCACCCCCCTCCACGCCAATGGGGGCCCCCTTGCAGGCTTGCACACGTGGGGCCCCTAGGCTTAAGCCATATCTAGCCTGTGCGTTAATCCGCCCCTGGCAGCTTCAGTATCATAAAACTGTTGATAAAGTGCAGCGAGTGAGGCTACAGCAGGACTTCTTTCCCTCTATTTCAAAATTCACAGAAATAGGTTACAGTCTTCATCATATTTGGAGTAAAGCCATATTCAAAAAGTTCTGAATTAAGTATTAGTTAAAACTATCCAGAATATAGTTAACTTGATTTGTAATGGCTTGTTGAGGAAATTTGGTGTGGGTGATTGTATCAGTGCATTTGCATTGTCACATGTTTGTAAGTCATACGTGAGGTTGGCAGTTCACATACTGTCATTGCTGGTGTGAACCATGTTCTCCGTACGTCATGCAAACTCTGTTCAGTCCAAGAACATTCAGTTAGTTAGTAAATGGCTGGGAGAACAATCCACCAATTTTTCCCACACACATATATTTAGTATAGGCCACGGTGATGTATTTATGCAGAGGACTGTAAGAATAAACTGGTGATCTTTCAAAAAAAATAAAAATAAGCAAGTAATTTTTAGGTGGTCGTGCTTTATTGACAATTTTATTACATATTACATTAAAGAACTATGTCACTTATTGGTGAAGTGATGTTTGCAAATCGTCTCCAGATGAAAGTGTCGAGTCAGTGATCAGAGAGGTAAATCAGTCAGCTAATCACCGTTCCGGTCGCTCATTCCCTACGGCCCTCACGTCCAGCTGATGCATACACACACACTGAATGAAGGCTCATGCCCCATTTCAGCTCAGGACTACTGGGACTGCAGGAATCGCACCACAGGGTTGCAGCCCCCCCTGAACGGACAGGGGAGCCCCTCACCGGCGCTGCCAGGAGGCTTAGGGTTAGCATCAGCCAAGCCGTGGCTCTTGCACTGTCAGTGCCCTGCGGTCTTCTTGGTCGTGCTCAGCGTGACCGGGGGGGGCTCGATGTCCAGCTCCTCTCTTAGCGACTCCAGACTCTGCTCCCAGCGGTGCTCATAGTAGATGCTCAGCACGCAGCGGGCACGCTGGCCATTGCGGAGGGCCCAGGGGCCCAGGCAGGTCAGCAGCAGCTGGCGGCGGCTGCAAGACACACGCGAGCGGAGCAATCGGGAAGAGCGTTTTAAAGGACTTCCAACGGCCAGCTGTTTCTGCGGCCCAAGGTTAGCCAGTCGCTTTATGTACGGCCAAAAGGGAGATAAAGCATGGCTCAATATCCATGAATTTAATGCCTTCACTGTTGAAATGTGACATCTAAGGGGTGTACCTGGCAGATAGACGAAGAGGTCCTAGAGCAGCTCCCAGAATGCACATGGGCAGGCCAGTCTGGACAGCTTCAAAACACTTCACTGCCACCTCGCCTAAAAGGGGGCGAATTACTCGGTTTGAGCCAGATTACACAGCTCACAGCCTGCAGGCACATTTGTCACACTGTAACCGTGCATAGAGGGAGATGTCATGCTGTCACACTGCACATAGGAGGATGTAGTCCTGTCACACAATAGGAGGAAGTCACACTGTCACACTGCAGGAAGCATTGTGTCACACTGCATGAGACCTACCCAGCATGTTAGTCGGCATGCCCAGCAGCGTGTGCAGAAGGTCGTGTACCTCCCTGTAACGCAGCATCACAAAGGCCAGCTCCTCGTCATCAACGAACTTGACCTGGGCCCGAGAGTCTGGGGTGACACGCTGACACACAGCAGAAGAGTAAAAGGCCAAGGTTACGCAGACGAATGCAAGGACAGAACCCAGCAAGACCCCTATCACAGGGCACACACTCATCCGCTCACACTCACGTTGGCAGTCAGGAAGCGAAGGTACTCCCTTCCCAGAGAGCCATCTGGCAGGGCTGCCAGTGTAGGCAAATCCAGAGTGCAGTGGCGAATCTGGGGGCGCTCCCTTGGAAACAGAGGGTGTCAGGTTTTTATGGTTTTGTTTTGTTTTTCTCCATGGTGTCAGAATGAGCCGATATGAGGGCCGCCCTGTTCCTCTTCACACTGCAAATCTGACGGCAGCAGGTTGCTTACTGGAGGACAGTGCTGCCCTCAGGATCAGCTCTCATACGCTCTCGCAACCTCAGCAGGGCCAGGTGGCCAGTGGTCTCCCCCAATACTGCCACCATATCTGGAAGGAGAGCAGAGGGACAAGGAGAAATGCAGGAGATATCTACAGCGCACCGTGCCTGAAAGACTGATGGACATCAGCTAGAGTGTGTTGCTTTATTCTTGTTGTTTATTTGAAATATTACTCTATCTAGAATTAAAAGCTAGTTTACAGTTGCACTGTAAGACACCTTTTTATTTCTAAAGTTGTTTGGAACTATAATTGCTGTCAGTGTTTTATTCAAAATGAAGTGAACCAGGAACGAAACATGTTGAGTATTAGTAAGAGAAGTAATGAATTGGGAAAAAAAATCCATCAATACTGACCTCCAAATGACATGCATTATACGTCAAAAGTATTATTTTAATGAATTATCACAGTTGAGCCAAAATCCCTTTGAAAGTCTTCCAATACCATCCTGACTCTGTTACCAGACATGGATATTTAGAATATATTTTAGATGGTCACCACACAGAAGCTGCCCAACTTCCTTTACATGACCAAAAAATAGGTGTGATTCTTTTTCCTGTCACAGTTGCTTAACAGAGGGGGTGGGAGTCTGACACACTTTCAGCACACATCCTGGACTCACCATGTCTGTACGGGTTCTGAAGAGCAGCCAGTCCTGAGCCCACCGCCAGCAGGGCTTTCTGGATGGGGTTAGTGTGGATGTGGCCCCTGTACAGGGGGCCATAACGGCTGTCGGTAGTCCAGCCAAGGTGTTCCTGAGGCCCACCCTGTGCTGTCAGAGGCACATAAGAAAAGCATGAGTGATTTGGGTCACAGAGACAGAAAGACGGCACATAGGACTGAAAGGATTCAGGGATTCAAAACATTTACTGTCATTTTGCACTAGTACAAATACTCAGTACAATGAAATACTGACATGTTTCCTGCAGACTGGGTAATTCAACACAGGGTAAGAAGACAGCACAAGCATTTATGCAGAATAAATATAAATATCAATATGTAGATATAGAGTTATCTGGAAGAAAAAAAATGGTATATATATGTAGAATATATAGTAAAGGAACAGCAGCAGATACAAGTTCAACTCAGAGTCAATTCACCCTCCAGAGAGGTAACACAACAAATTATGACCCAAAACCAGAAAACGATGATCTCTACTCTTAGAATCTGGCACAGGGTTATACTTCGTGGGAATAAAAACCTCACAGACCACCAGGGAATAATACGAAAAATACAATAATGAGACCATCAACGCAAAGAAACCTGAGAAATGCAGTCAACCTGTTTGAAATGTTTAACTTAATGAAGACCGAGCCGGATACAGGTATAATTTAGGTCTGCCCAAATAGAAGATACAGCAACGCAGAACCATACCTGTGCACATAGCGCACATCGAAACCCGAATTACACTTCGCAACGGGCATTTCAAACAAAACTTTAGCAATGTCACAGACATAGTCTAGAGCGAGAGAAACAAAAAGAAACGATCGATACCGGTGAAGGACACAAAACGTACTGGCAGTAATATGATCTATAAGCGGTGTGACTTTACTGGACGTCACATCCGGCTCTGCTACGGCGAGCCAGAAAGCTCAAACGTGTTTCTTCAGTGAGGCTTTCCATCCACCCATTCACCTATAGGCTGTGTCCGAATTCAGAGACTGCATCCTTTTAAAAAATGTATTTAGGCCTATTTATTTTTATTTAAACTGTTACAATACAGAGCAATGATAAAAATAAAATATACAATAATATATATTATACAGTAATATGGTAATAAACATGCTAGGGGGTGCTATATACAAATCTATACAAATACTTTGAATAAATCACTTATTTTTACAGTTTTCCCAGCTTTTTTATTTAGAGAGGGCCTAATTGAATTTATATAATGATTCAATTCTAACTGAAGAGAAGCAAAAGAGGGTTTCCTATGAAGACATTTACTTTTATGAATGTGAAACTTGGCTAATAAGAGAATGAGATTCATCAAGTACTGATGTGGACTGTGACGATTCTTAATGATCCCAAATAATACATGTCTCCACAAAAGAGCAAAATCAATCATAATAGACAATAGACAAGAAATAAAATTACAAACATTTTGCCAAAAAGAAATTACATAAGGGAATTTCCAAAATAAATTGTCTCTCAACAATCGTTGCAAAATGTAAAATCTATGTCAATTTCTTTACATGCATTACTGTTAAACGTGAGATCCCTTCTGCCTTTGAAACTATAGGACCCTAACCCTTTAATGATAGGTCCCTCGATAGCCACTGATTCAGTCATTTTTTTTGTTTTTTGAATAACAGGATTAAAGTTTAAGGAGCCTCTTCTATATTTGTCTTTAGTGATAGTAACTCCAAAAATAAACAATATCTGTCTTAACTGGAATGTTACAATAATACGATTCAGAACAGTCTTTGATAACCAGAAGTTCACATTTAGTCAAATTCAAAGATACTCCAGAAGCTCTGGAGAATTCATGTATGACGTCAATCGCTAGAGGAATTTCCTTCTCATCCTGTAAAAAAATAGTAGTATTATCAGCTGATTGAGTTATGATTAATTCTCTGCCAAATATTGAGAGGCCATTTAAAGTACTAGCCTTTATATGGTAAGCAAGAAGTTGACTAACAAAAAAAGGTATGGAGAAACTGAACAACCCTGTCTGATTCCTCTAGACATGTCAAATCTTTGGGAGGTACCCCTTACACGTTTTACAGAGCTGTTATTATTATTATAAAGAGTTTTGATAGCCCCCAAAAAGTAATTTCCAAAACCAAAATTCTTCAGTGTATCAAAAATAAACTGATGTTCCAGAGAGTCAAATGCCTTATAGAAATCAACAAAAAGAATAAAATCATTATCATTAAAAACTTCTGGGTAATCTATAATATCCAAAACCAAAATCTTATGTTATTTGATATATGTCTATTCTTCATAAAGCCTGAATGTGTTTCCTCAATTATTGAATTTAAAGTTAACTTAAGCCATCCAACTAATATCAATGCCAATATCTTATAGTCATTATTTAATAGAGTGATTGGACTCCAATTGTCTAAAGGGACTGCATCCTTCTAAGGCTGGATTCGAAGTCATATACGTCACAGTGGCGCGACAAGGCTGTCCCACTTCACTGGCTCCTTCAAATGCAGCTTAGAAATGCGTTATTCATTTGTCGAGATCCCAAGATTCATTTCACGATCCCACAAAGTATTCAGCCTACAAAGACTATGCAGAGGCTAAACAGACCGTATCCTTCGAAGAATGCAGCTGCTGAATTCGGATATAAAGTCCTCGAGGCCGCTGTGGTACATCCAGTGAAAATGCATAGATGTTCTGGTCAACTTTATAGAAGAATTTAGAAAATTATAAACAAGGCTCTATGTTTGGGTGCTTCTGAAAATAAGATTGAGATAATACATACACAGACACATACACATTAATTCCACTACATTCGAACCATGGTTTTCATACAAGAAAATTTAGGTATCCCCCGTTTAATGTCGATTCAATCAACCTCGTCTAAAAAATTACAATAAAAAATAAAATCTGCGTTTTAATGCCAGACGTAGCGGCCGCTGTAGGTAGAGATGTCAGCCTACAAAGACATAAGAACATAAGAAATTTACAAAGGAGAGGAGGCCATTCGGCCCATCAGGCTCGTTTGGGGAGAACTTAACTAATAGCTCAGGGTTGTTAAAATCTTATCTAGCTCTGATTTAAAGGAACCCAGGGTTTTAGCTTAAGACTATTTCATACTCTAACTACATGCTGTGTAAAGAAGTGCTTCCTCAAATTCATTTTAAAATGTTCTCCTGCTAATTTCCACTTATGGCCATGAGTTATAGTATTTAAACTAATATTGAAATAGCCATTTGACTGAGCAGCATCCAGACCCGTTAGAATCTTATATACCTGGATCATGTCCCCCCTTAGTCTCCTTTGCTCAAGAGAGAGAGAGATAGTGCCGCTTCTTTCAAAAAGATTTATGACCTAAAGGTCAAAAGGTTAGGGGTCAAGAGCTCACTGGGGGGGCGGGGTTGGGGTGGAGCCAGGTGATGTCACAACTAATGGTGTTGTTAATTATTTCCATATGTTGTGAGAGGGGGTGTGAAATTTATTGTGGAGTGGGTTTTTTTTTTATTATTTATTTTATTTTGACTAGTGCGGAGACTGAAATGAAGTTTCAGTGAATTTTGTGCTTATGAGTGTGATTTGTTGGAATAGCCCCGTGCTATGAGGGTGATGGCTGACGGTGTTGAGCACGGAGCTGAGCCCGGAGCTGAGCAGGTTGGTTACCTGATGGAGTGTGAGCGTGCGCTGGGGCTGCCTGTGGTGTGGTACTGTGGGAAGGTCCCAGTCGGTCCGGAGCGTGTAAATGTTGCGGATAAGGACTTTGGACATTCTGCAAAGGACTTGGAGATTCTGAGAGCGATGTTGGAGCTTATCCCTGTGTTGCGAGAGTCTGAAAGAAACTCTGTGAAAATGAGAAAGTTGGAGCTAGGAATGTGAGGAGGAGGGGGTGGGTCTGACCCCCCTGCAGCAGCAGCAGTTTGCCCGAGCGGGTTTACCTATCCCATAACGTGATAAATATCCGTTTTTTTCCCTTATGGGGACCACTTCGTAGTGCACTCGATAGGAAAGGACTGAGTATGCCCTTTACAGTGCGCACTTCGCAGTGTACCCTTCGTGTGCACTAAATAGTAAAGGACTGAGTATGCCGTTTCCAGTGCACACTTCTTAGTGCACACTTCATAGTGCACACGTCGTAGTGCGCACTTCATAGTGTGCACTTCGTAGTGCACTCGATAGGAAAGGACTGAGTATGCCCTTTCCAGTGCACACTACGAAGTGTACACTACGAAGTGCGCACTGGAAAGGGCTTACTAAGTCATTTCCTATCGAGTGCACACGAAGTGTACACTATGAAGTGCACATTTCGTATTGCGCACTACGACGCACTACGACGAGTACACTACAAAGTGCGCACTACGAAGTGTACACTATGAAGTGCGCGCTGGAAAGGGCTGGTTTGACTTTGTGTTGCCTGCATTGTGAGGGAGCATCAATTATAGCATCAATCATTGTTGAGGATCCGAGCGGCTGGACCAGATCAAGGGGACGCCCACGTAACACCTGGCTGCGGTAGATGGATGGCCATTTCTGGAGGATGGGACTGGACCATGTATCTGCACATGCATTTACATGTATGTAACTATTTTGTTACCTTGTAAATAGTCTGTAGGGTTTGCTGCCCCGAGGCATGAGTGTCATGTCAAGTGCGTCAGAGTTGGCAACCCTGAAAATGTACATTTTTAATTCATTTTAATTGGTGAAATGCCTGTTAAAATTACATAAACCTATAATGAAAGCGTGTAGGTAAGAACATGCTTTCAATAGCCTAGGTCAGAGGTCACTAACAGGCGGACCGCGGTCCGGGTCCGGACCCAGAAGTTGTCCTATACGGACCCGGACCGATAGCCAAAACATTATTATTTAAAACCTGATGCTTCTATTTTAACCGGCAGAGCTTTTGTGGTCTTTTCGGTAGTGGTTTAGCAGTAGAACCACCATTTCCCACGCCAATGAACATCAAACACCTTTAACCGCCAAGCTAGACGTAGTTCGTCTCATGCAGCCCTTTGATTGCGCTAATGTGCCATTAGTGTTAATAGCAGCAGCAAAGCTAAAACCCGCAACCAAAAACCCGTAATGTTCCTAACAGAGTGACTGGTCTGTCCTGAAATCATACAGCTGAAAAGTTTTTAAATACAGTATGTATTATTTAACATGTTGGATAAATAGACGTAGTTTATTGTTTATTTCATGTTCGTTGAAGTTTCTGCTTTTTTACATATGTATAAAATTATGTTATCTGTTATATAAATAAACTAAGGTGAAACAAAAAATGTACGTTTTCATGACTGCCAAATCTCAAGCATCTGGCATGACACTCACGCTTTCAGACTCACACCGGAAATCTTACGGCAAATCTATATTATTCCATTATAAAACCTAAAATTAGCTACGTCAAAGGTGTATTTACACGGTTAAATACAAAAACATACTATTTACAAGGTAAGAATTGTCACATGTGTGTGCAGACATCTTGAACTGAAAATCTCACTCCAGTCAGCTGGCCGAAGTTCTATGTCACGTGACAATAAATATTGTCAAAACGTTTTTGAATTGTACTTAATTAATTTGATTTGACAGTCAGGTACTGATTAAATGCAATGTTGATGCAACTAATAGGCTACTTAAATATATATCACACTAAATAGTTAGACATTATGATAGCCCGTACCTTTGCTTCAAGAAATTTTCTCTAACTGGACCTCTTTAAATTTTAGTTGAATACCCCTGGCCTAGGTAATGGATATGTTAATAAAATATATGCAATTGTTTATATAGTTTTATATTGGGCTGTCCGGGGGCTTGAACTCCCGGTAACAAATTCAGTCCCACTCCGGTCTTGACGACTTTTTTTTTATCACATTTGCATTAGACCTATGTGAAATAATATTTTAGAATGACTAATGTCTTATTATGAAATTCAATTTAAACGCCTAAATAGAAGACAAACGTTGTTATGAAATATAATACCTTTTATGGAATTATTTAAAAAGAAAAAGACATTTAATTAATTATTGAAATATTTATTTCTTCATTTGTAGATATTTTTATTTTTTTTAATAATATGGCGTTACATAGACAGCGGTAAAACAGCTAGTGAGAATCTTTACGGAGACAAAAGTGGCCACAGGAAAAATAGACACGGTGCAACGAGCCATAAGCTACTCTGAAAAGCTTTTTTTCGATTCGGCAGCTTATAAAAATTTATAATCCGAAACATACCAAAATAAATCTAAAAAACGGAATACATCTCTACTTTACTTTCACTTTCGTCTACGAAAAGCCTAAAGGGCTTCACAGACCAAACGCGGCATGCATTGTGCACGCCGCGAGGTTTGCGCATCCAGTCAAAAACAACAGCGGTGTCCGCTCAATGCGCTGCGCTCGCTGCGGGGCTTCAGCGGGAAAAGTGTGCGTGGTTTTCAAAACACTCTCCCGTCATTTTGTTGTTGCACCGGCGGTCAGTCATCCTGATATATCTGTGCCCGGTTCGGTGCCTTGTTTTTATTGATCGCGCGACAATTCGTCACAGCGCGCAGTAGTCAAAGTTCAATAAAATTCAACTTTGACTGCGGTGCTCGCACAAGCTCCTCGAGCAGCGCGTTGTACCGCGCTGTACCGCTCTGGCGCTGCGCTTGTGGTTTACTCGGCACGGCTCGAAACCGTCCTTGCGCCGCGCAAGCCATAGGAAATACCCATTCAACCACCGTTGACAATGCTCGTTAGTTGTGTATAGTGGGATGTAATGATACATTAAGTGTATGGAGTCAGCATTTAGAATACATTTTAATTGGTCCCTATAATGCACACCTGAAACCATAGGCATGCTCGCTTTATATTGAAACTGGAGAATCCCGGGAAACCCCCCCCATAAAGTGGGCGGCACATGCGCACAACGTAGGTGGGATTCGGACCCCAATCCGGCAGGTGTGGGGTCACCATATCCGTCCATATTCATATATTCCGTTTCGTTTCTTAAGTGTTTTTTTTTTTTTTGAAGTAGGCTACAAGGCAATTGGCTCCCTTGGCGGAATGCCACTCCATCAGAGATATCATTATGGAAAAGTCCACATTTTACTTTTTAAATTGTAATGCGGGATTTTTCAAATCATTGTTTCCTTATTGTAAAGTTGCGCTGCGGCCATTATATGCGGGAGTATAAAGACGTCAGCAGCATCGCTCCAGTAATCCAGAGGAACCGGCCGGCCTGAGCACGCTGCTAGGACACGGGCTTTGGGGTAAAAAGGGGACTCGGCTGCATCTGGTGAGTAATGATTATATAAAGTAGACTTGCCGATTTTAAGTTTGGGTATGTGTGATGATCACAACAGGTAAAGCCTTAAAAAAGCTGTTGTTGCGTGTTTTTGTCAAAATGCATTGTGCTTGAAATGACAAAAGTAAAACATGGCACAATTTCAGCCTGCGACAAATTTTTAGAAGCAGCGCAAGCAGGATATTTGAATGATGAAAGTGTACTCCTGTATTGACCACTTTGAATTTGTTTGTTTTCACAATTACAAAAGTAGTTGATCCTTTTAAAGTGCCTTTTCCTTTTAATTCACCCGCCATCATACTTTTTTTCCGTTTTGTACAACCTGTAGGATAAGTGATATGTTTTCTGTTTGGACCATGTTAAATAATGTTAGATTAGTTAGATCAAGATACCAGTTCCAGTTCAAAGGCTTCTGCCTTATTAAAATACTCCTGGCCACGCTACATCTTGGATGCATGGACATGCGGAAAAGAGGCATATTATTAAAGCAAAAGTAAAAAAAACCTAAATCCCAACAGATGTCAACTACAGCTCAACAGTTAAAACGACTGTTTTATTATTTGTTTTCCGTGTTTTAACCGACCATTCAGGCTTCAACATTACTTGTATTGTCTTTCATCAGTATAAAATGGTGGTATTCACGTGCTTTTTCCCAAATGAAAGCAGAAACTCCGAATTTAAGTCATCGCTGCTTTTATGAACCTCAACTAACTAGTGCCGAGCATGGAATGCCTGGTCCATAAAATGTCATTGTGAATGCGGTACCTCAAACATCGAACCGTAACAATTTATCCATTTTCCTCTGAAGTTTCCTTCAGTGGTTTTAATGAAAGTTTTAGTCTCTCTTTTTTTCAGTCATTCGTAACATGGGATCGGGACAATCTTGAACTATGCAGTCATGCATTTTAAAGAAACTGAGCGGCTCATTTTGTATTTACGTTTTAACATTATTAGCTGTATTTTGTTTTAGACTTTTTTGATTACTTATTGCTAGTAATTTTATTGTTTTATGGTTGTCTTATGTAAAGCGGTTTGGTTACACCACTCCTGCTGTTGTTTTAAATGTGCTATATAAATAAATTGACAGCTTTAGGTTCCCATTTTTTATTTTTTTAAGTTATTCGTAACATGGGATCGGGACAATCTTGAACTATACAGTCTATATATGGAATACCAGTCCAGCACATGATTTATAGCATGCAGGGAGAACATGCAAACTAAATACAGAGAACAGAGGTGGGACTCAAGCCTCCAGCCCTCTGATACACTGTGCTGCACAGGGATAATTCAGCCCTTTCAAATTCAGCTATTAAGACCATTACGACGTACTAATGACTTCCTGGTAAGATTGTGGGAAATTTTTGCAAACTTTGTTTTCAAAGTCGCTCTCTATCTTTAGGAATCTAATCTGTTAACACGGACATGGTAGTTCACTTCATATCTGTGAAATGTGAACTTTAGATTTTCGTAAACTGAACCTGCTCATTAGATTATTCTCTGATCCTTATGAACAATTTTGCCATGAAATTCCCATTCTGTGTTTTCAGGAATTAAGAAATAATTTTTCTGCCTTGATGATTTGTTACTGGAACTCTGCATCGCCACCTTGTGGAGCATCGCCACATCATTGCAGTCGGGTTGAGGTCTGGACTTGGGGTCATTGCTGTACCTTGGTTCTTTTCTTTTTCAGCCATTCTGTTGTAGATTTGCTGGTTTGCTTGGGATCATTGTCCTCTTGCATGACCCAGTTTCGGCAAAGCTTTAGCTGTTGGACAGATGGTCTCACATTTGACTCTACAATGCTTTGATATACAGAGGAGTTCATGGTCGACTCAATGACTGCAAGGTGCCCAGGTCCTGTGGCTGCAAAACAAGCCCAAATCATCAGCCTTCCACCATTATGCTTGACAGCTGGCATCAGGTGTTTGTGCTGATATGCTGTGTTTGGTTTTCACCAAACGTGGCGCTGTGCATTATGGCCAAACATCTCCACTCGTCTGGTCACATCTTTTCAAAGGACATTGTTCCGGAAGTCTTGCAATCAGATGCAACGTTGCAAACCTAAGCCATGCTGCCATGTCCTTTTTAGAGAGAGAGGAGGTTTGCTCGTGGCAGCCCTTTCAAACAAGCCATACTGGTTCAATGTTTTTCTAATTGTACTGTCATGAACTTTAACATTTAACATGCTAACTGAGGCTTGTACAGTCTGAGATGTAGCTCTTGGGTTTTTTGCAATTTCTCTGAGCATCGCCCGGTCAGACCTTGGGGTGAATCTGCAAAGATTGGCAACTTTTCTTGAACGTTTTCCACTTATGAATAATCATTCTCACTGTAGAATGATAGACTTCAAATTGGTTGGAAATGGCCTTATAACCCTTCCCAGATTTATAATAATTAAGATTGATCAGTGTTGACACACCATAGCACAACAAAAAAAATGTGTCCTCTGCATTTAACCCATATGACATTGTGACGTAACAGTGAGCAACTCTTATTTAGCACCCAGGGAGCAGTACCTTGCTGGTTAGGGATTCAAACCAGCAATCTTTCAATTACAGGTGTGCCTCCCTAACCATTAGGCCACCACTGCTCCCGAAAGATTTAATTATGTATCGTCGTTAGTGCATACTTTTTGCACACTTCGTGGTGGACCAGTTTGAGCGCTTCGAAGGCACTTTTGGGTAGGCGGCACTGGTTTGAAGATCACTGGAAGTCTTCAGGTAACATTGATGGACAGCAACAATTGCTTCTCTAAGGTCATTGCTGATGTCTTTCCACCTTGGCATTGTGTTAGCATACATCTGAATGCTCTGGACCAGCACGCTGCCAAAATTTCTGCTTTTATAGAGCTGGCCACACTTGCTGATGATCAATTAATCAAACAATTAATCAAAACACCTGGCTTCCTATGGAAACAAGTGTGTGTTTAATTTTTCACGTACTACTTATGCATTTTGGCTTTGTTTTTGTTAAATAATTACATGGTGTAATATGTCGTATGTTGTTGTTCATCTGAGGTTGTATTTACCTAATTTTAAGATCTGCTAAAGAACAGATGGTTTTCCATTATGTCCTGATGCCTAAAACCTTAGAATTGAAAGTGTTGTTTTTTTCCACATTACTGTATTCATGTGTATTTCTGCAGTGTTGGTGAAATCTGTATTTATTGTATTCTGCTTGGACATCAGTCCTTGCTGATCCTAAGTTGATCCTAAATATTAGATGTTTTTTAATTTTTGGGGTGCTTATTTCATGAAGGGGAACAAGTAACAGATGAATGTTTTATAAACAAGTAAGATTTAGTTTGACACTGAAAAAGTAAACTTAGACTTAAAGTCAAATTTAACTTGTGCTTACTATGGAAGCTCCCTCTTCGAGCTTTCCAATGAACTCTACCTAAGCCATGAAGATGTAACAGTACATACCTGTGATGTAGAAAAAATTCTATCTCAAAGCACAAGCTTTAGATTCCTGATGCCATCTTATTCTCCACATGTCAAAGCAGGGCGTTGATGCTGTTGAACACAATTTAACAAGAGATAACTTAAACTCGGGTAACATCTTCTCTAAACTGTTGCTGTGCATCATATACACATCAAGTACATTATGACGTGAAGTGAATAATGTTGACCGTCTCATAAAAATGGTGCATGACAAGGTCTAGGATATACTGAGTGGTAAAGCTAAGGTTCGGTACTCGTAGTCCACATGTTGAATGCAGAAGAAATGGGCAACGATAAAGATCTGAGTGACTTTGACAAGAGCCGAATCATTTTGGCCAGATGGCTGGATCAGAGCATTTCCAAAATGGTGTTGAGTACCCCCTGAGAGTGGTCAGAGGAGGGAAAAGTCATGAACCACTGACTGGGTGACTCGTTGATGTGGAATGTGAACAAGGGCTATCCTGTGTGGTACAAACCAACAGAAGGGCTATTGTGGCACAAATGGAACACAATTTTGATGATGGTCACGGGAGTAATTTGTCATGAGTGCGTGGACCCTTGCTGCATATGCCGGAGTCCAGTCAGAGTGCCCAGTCCACCGTCGAAGGCCTACAATGTCCGTTTTCTGTTGCATCATGTTGACGGCCAGGTATGTGTCGGGCATCTGTGGGATGTGTTGGACAGACAAGTCCAATCCACAGTTACAAAGCCCCATAAGCAGCATCACATAATGCAGTCTGTCACTCAGATATGTACCCCTGCCCATTTCTTTTGCATTCAGCACATTGCCTACAAGTGCAAACGTTGGCTTACCATATAAAATATTCCAGATTTGACCCCCAGTTTTTACAGGATACTCATCATTATTCACTTCACGTGGGTGTGGCCAATGATTTGGCTTATTGCTGTATATGATGCATTTATAGCATTGTTCATGCTGATGTTTGGTATAAACCCAAAATATCGCCAAGCGACATGTACAGCTATACATATGATTTGGGCAACTTTACTTGACGGGGTACAAATATTGTAGTATTTTATGCTATTACTTAACCACAAACTAAGTCTGTTTAAATACTGATCTCATGTTAATTCATCATTAATAAGTTGTACTATTATCTCAAGCAGTTACTATATTTACTATATCTGTTAATTCTGTAAACCTTTGTAAACTACTGAAGGAACTACTAAGGAATCACAGAAGGAACAAGTGAGGAATAAGTGAAATACTGATCTCATGTTTGTTCATCATTAATGCATTGTGACACATCTCGTGACAACTGTTCATGATTTGTTCATATTTTGTACTTCAGTAATAACTCAGTTACTACTGAAGTATTTGTGCCCCATTAAGTAAAGTGTTACCTATATTTGTATGATGGATTGATTTACAGTTGTACTCAAGTTTCAGATATTGCTAATATAAAAAAATACAATAAAAAAAATCTTATACTCTTGGCAGCTTTTACAACTGGTATGTATGTTTGTTTGTATTCCAGCCATAGCTATTGTGTGCTGACATAACTGGTTAGTTGTTTTTCAGTCGCTTTTGGCTAATTGCTGTCTGGGCTGTCATCTGCAGGTATCACGGACACGCTCCCTGTTCATGGAGGAGTATGGCAAGCTCCTCGCTCTCCTGCTCCCTGGATTCCTCTATGCAGGGAATCCCCCAGTCAGTGTTGATGGTCTCCATGGAGACCAAGTACCAGTGCCAGCACTGCGAGGGGGTGTTGAGGATGCCCTCCCAGGCGAGGTGTGGGCACCGTTTCTGCGGAAACTGCTTCAGTGAGCTCACCAGGTACGAGGCGTCAGTGTCACATGGCTGCCATGTGCTTCATAAAAAAATTTATCAAGTAATTTATAGGTATGAGCTAATAAGTCTTCACAGACTGAAACAGCCTTTAGCTAACAACTTGTGTGTATGTGTAGATAGTGATAACCCAGTAAGCAGAATATGCTAAACCTGTACGGAGTGATCATTTTTGGATGCCAGAACTGTGCGATATGACCAAATATGTTACCGTGATAAAATTTTTCATGTCAGTCGATATCGACAATTATCATGATAAATGTCAACATATTATTTCCAATTTAAAGGCTGATTTTTGCTCATGAGTGAAACCAGATGGTTAACTGTAGTTTTACAGTAATTGTTCTTTATTGCCAGAACATGACAAACAGCATTTCACATTTCAAAATTGTAGTCCCTAGCATTTCTGAATTCTCTGTGGATTATTACTGTGTGGATTGAATTTTACTGAATTACCCTTATTGAACAGGTTGCTTTGGACTGACCTGCTCTCCCAGTGAGAGCCCTGTTGCTCTGACTGTGATGTCTTTCATCTGCCTGTCTGCCCCTATTGCATTCTCTTATTTGTTCAATAAATCCCCTGTTTGTGTGTTTATGGCTGTGTCTGTGCTTGTGCTGCATTGCCAGTTCTGACAAATAGAGATTATTATTGACCTTTTATAGAGCATTTGCCATATTGATAAAGAGGAAAATATCACAACAATTATCATTTTATTGTTTTATTGCCCAGCCCCATTTCATGGATATTTTGCTGTGTGCTGTAATAAATGAGATAAGGTGAGAAACACTGTATATTTACAGTGATGGAGATGGCAGTCTTTATGTTCCTATGAACTGCTTTAATAAAAGCATTTTGTTTATAGGTAACTTTTCCATTTGTCTTGTTAGCATCTGCTGACAGTGAGTGTGTCAGCTGGGGCCCCCCGTGTGACACAAGAAAGTGAGTGTGTCAGCTGGGGCCCCCCGTGTGACACAAGAAAGTGAGTGTGTCAGCTGGGGCCCCCCGTGTGACACAAGAAAGTGAGTGTGTCAGCTTGGGGGGCCCCCCGTGTGACACAGGAAAGTGAGTGTGTCAGCTGGGGGCCCCCCGTGTGACACAGGAAAGTGAGTGTGTCAGCTCGGGGGCCCCCCGTGTGACACAGGAAAGTGAGTGTGTCAGCTCGGGGGCCCCCCGTGTGACACAGGAAAGTGAGTGTGTCAGCTCGGGAGCCCCCCCGTGTGACACAGGAAAGTGAGTGTGTCAGCTCGGGGCCCCCCATGTGACCCCTGACAATGACAGTGTGCCTGTTTGCCCCCCCAGCTTGGGCCCCCTGCCTTGCAAGGCATGCCAGCGAGACGGGATCTTTGAAGACCCGCTGTCCATCATAAACGCCAGTGATGTGAGTCCGTGGGGTCTGATGTCTCGCTCCAGTTCATGTGGCATGTTTAGTCTGCACAGTGGCACTCTGGGCAGCCACCAAACCACACACCTCCGTCATTATTTTATCCTTCTCTTCTCATGGTCATTAGTGCTCTGTCTTCCTTCCCTTTCCTGCTGTCTCTGGCCACCATCTTTTAACCCATATGTGACATTGTGACATAGCAGGGGGCAGCTAATTCAGCACCCGGGGAGCAGTGCTTGGGGGCGGTACCTTGCTCAGGGCACCTCAGTGGTGCCTTTCTGATCAGGGATTCGAACCTGCAATCTTTAAATTACAAGTGCACATTCACATTAAGCCAGCACTGCCCTTTTCTCCTTTTTCCACTTTACAGTTCCAGTGCGATCCTGAATGATCTACTCTCTGGTTTATGTGGTGTTTGATTTATTCTTTGAAGGCTTTTCCAGACAACGCTGCGCGGAGGGAGATTGAAAACCTGCCAGCTCAGTGTCCCAGTGAAGGCTGTCCATGGAGAGGGGTTGTTAAGGACTATGAGGTGTGCTTACAGTCTGTATGTGGGGGCGGTTACTGTATGTGGGGGTATGGTTACTCTGTGTACTCTGTGCTTGGCTGGGTGTACATTTACTGTCTGTGCTGTGTATGTGGGCGGGTGCACAGTTACTATGTGTACTTTGTGCGTGGGTGTTTGCAAGGTTACCATGTTAACTGTGGTGTGTGTGTGTGTGTTTTTAATGAAGAAAATTTGATTTCCATCCACCATAGCGTTAATGTGTTTGAATAGAGCCACTGGTTTAAGCTTTATTTCACTTGTTTTCTCATTCCAACCGCTGCCTTGCTGGCTGAGTGACAATTTGACTGTAGCTCAGCCATTTGAGGGCTAGGGGAATTCCTGACAAATGTAGTGGTTTGGAAAGTACCAGATGTTTGTATTTAAAACAGGATACATCACTGATCAGAGGAAAGTACCGAAAAGCTCTTTGCCTTTTGAATAGCATTTGAATCCAAGTGTTCTGATAAAACTTGTCTATTGTTCTGCTAGTAATTTTAAATAAGGCACATGGGGTATTAGATTGCTTTTCTGGGCACTTTATAGGGTAGTAGTAGAATATTTTTGTAGTTTTATTAACCAAAGAAGTGTATTATTTCTGCATTAAAGGAAAACTTGCAAGAAGATAGTGGAGATTATGGCTGTTCGGCGTGAAAGTATTCATGTACTAGCTAGTGCTGACCGAGGAAGAGAAGGTGATTTCTTTGGAATGGCTGTGAGGCTCAGTTTCTGTATGAGGCTTGGGGTTGTGAGCTGGTTTTGGCTGCATCATTCCTGATCTGGTGAGACCTTTTGTACTGAACCTGCTGAGTTCTGTCCTGTTACATGGTATCTGCACCATGAATTTAACTGTTTTAATAAAGTCCTTTAATACAGAGCTGCTGGTTTTTGCCTTATTCCTTGTCCTTCGTTTTTGTAGTTTTGAAAGTGATGAGGGGTCACTGATGCGACGAGGTGAGCTTTGGCAGTGATGGACCTGCACTGTGTTTCCTGGGGCTTGCAGGCACAGCATGAGGGCCGCTGTGAACATGAGCAGGTGCAGTGTGAGGCCTGCCAGGCCTTCGTCCCACGGCTCCACATGGCCAGGCATGCCGACAGGGAGTGTGAGGCGAGGAGTGTGACCTGCAAGTTCTGCAAGGCCACCTTCAGCTCCAAGGACATCAAGGTGACCCTTCTCCTCCTCCTCCTTCTTCACCTCCTCCACCTCCTCATTCTTCTCCTACTTTTCCTTCTTCTTGTTCTACCCATTTGGTTCCTCCTCCTTCTCCTCCTCCTCCTTCTTCACCTCCTCCACCTCCTCATTCTTCTCCTACTTTTCCTTCTTCTTGTTCTACCCATTTGGTTCCTCCTCCTTCTCCTCCTCCTCCTTCTTCACCTCCTCCACCTCCTCATTCTTCTCCTACTTTTCCTTCTTCTTGTTCTACCCATTTGGTTCCTCCTCCTTCTCCTCCTCCTCCTTCTTCACCTCCTCCACCTCCTCATTCTTCTCCTACTTTTCCTTCTTCTTGTTCTACCCATTTGGTTCCTCCTCCTTCTCCTCCTCCTCCTTCTTCACCTCCTCCACCTCCTCATTCTTCTCCTACTTTTCCTTCTTCTTGTTCTACCCATTTGGTTCCTCCTCCTTCTCCTCCTCCTCCTTCTTCACCTCCTCCACCTCCTCATTCTTCTCCTACTTTTCCTTCTTCTTGTTCTACCCATTTGGTTCCTCCTCCTTCTCCTCCTCCTCCTTCTCCCTCTCTGCCCCTCTAGTCATTTTTACTGATGAACAGGAGGTTTGCAGTGAGCCCTAAAGAAGGTTCATGATGGATTCATGATGACGGTGAAAGCGACGGATTCTGAGAAGTCCTTCGGGGGTGGGGGTGGGGTGTAGCACCTGCATGTGTCCCATGCACAGCGATACTGGTAACGGACACACACCACCTGTTAATGTGCCAGATGTCATGGCATTGTGATATCTGTCACTTACCGCATTCTGTCACTTCCCCAGGGGCACAACAACGTTTGTCAGAAGTTCCCTCTTCACTGTGAGGCCTGTGGCAAGAGGAAGATCCCCCGGGAAATGGTCAGTTCTTGCAACTTCAAATTTGACTAATGGGACCCCGTTGTCCCCTGATGACCCCCGGCCAAGAACAGCTTAACCTGAATCACTCCAGTTAAGCATTTAGCAGTATAAACAGGCATCAGCAGGGGGCTCCTGAAAAGAAGCTCAGCTCAATGGTGACATAAGTGTCATCAGCTTTATAGTGAACGCACTGCCTGCCCATGCTGCCCTTTTCTGCTTGGGGATATACATGAGTACGCTTCTTAGGAAGACTGCGGCATGGAAGCAGAGGTGTCTGGGAATTCCTACTTTTTTTTTTCTTTTTTTTTTTAAATCAGTCAGCATTGTTTTCTTCCTCTTTCCCCCCAGTTTGCCGATCATTTGAATTCTTGCGGGAAGCAGCAGAAGGCCTGTCAATTCAGCACCCTGGGCTGTGAAACCTTGGTGAGGATATCAGGCTACAGCAGTCCACACGGGACTAACATTTCTACCGGTTAATCCTGAGCAGGCCTTCAGCCTATCAGACGCAGCACTGGGCATGAGGCAGGGGTGCACCCTGGGACACACACACACACAGGAATGTAATTATATGTTTGTGGGGACTCTGCATTCATTTAAATGGAGAAAACTCTAATCCCAACATGATGTCCTTAACCCCAACCCAGCCCTAACCTTAACCATAAGTAACCAAACTAAATACGAGACTTTTGGCATTTTTACTTTTTTGATCTTTTTTTCCCACAGATCTTTGTGGGGACCTGAAAAATGGTCCCCACAATGTCAAAAAAAAAAAAATATATATATATATATAAACATAATCCATAGACACGCACTATGGACCATTTTGAGACGTCAGTCACTCAAACTGCATGTCTTTAGACTGCAAGTGGAGACCCATGCAACACAGGAAGGACATGCAAACTGCACACACGCAGAGCAGTGCGGCGACTCCTCCCCCCCCCCCAACCCTGAAGGTGTGAGGTTACAGTGCTCAAGCCCAGCCCAGCAGTAGGCACACCAAGACAGAGGGGCACATCCAGCCGTTGTTTCAGATCGCAGTTCTGCTACCAGTTCTGTTTTTGAATGCTGTTTATATACATGCTCTTCTATGTATACACTTCTGCACCCCCCCCCCACTGAGTCGTCTACATTTCCTTTCACTTGGCGGATGTAAATTTGGTGCAGAAACACAGAATTGTCTGTCTTTCCACACACAAGAGAACAGTTACAAATGGGTGGAAGTCCCCCTGTTTCCAGACATAAGCTGTTTTTGTTCTTGTAAAGGGACTCCTGGAATACAAAATGCTTTGCACGTCACATGATCACTTCCACTGTCATGATGACGTCTAGATCTGCCCATGGTCTGCCCCCCCATCCTGCCCTACCCTACGATGTCCTGTCCAACACTCTGCTTTCTGTGTTTTCTGAGGGTCTGTGGCCCTTGTGACCAGACGGGGCCACATGAAGGGATTGCACACTGAGCCTTATGTCTCACTGTGTGTCTTATGTGTGTAGCTGGAGAACGAGACGCAAGGCAACCACGAGCAGGCCAACGTCTTGGAGCACATGCGCCTCCTTCTGGCTAAGGTGGTCGTGCTTCAGAAGCAGCACGCCCCGGGCCCGGCAGAGTGTGAAGAAGGCGTGGCACTGGGCCTGTATAGAGCACCTGTGGATGGGGAAGCGGGACGGAACAACAACCTGGAGCCTAAGGTTGCTGCTCTGGAGAACATTGTGTATGTACTGAACAGGGAGGTGGAGAGGTGTGCTTTCACCTTGGAGGCTTTCACCTGTCAACAACGGCTGGACCAGCAGCAGATCGAGACCCTTAAGAACAAGGTAAATTCCTGCACCCTACACTCTGTCATGCACAAAGTTCTTCTAGAACAGTATTTCCCAATCCGGTTCTCAGGGACCCGCAGACAGTCCACATTGTTGCTCGCTCGAGCTCAGACGGAGTCAAAGCAGCTCATGGGAGTTTTACGTACTCAGAAATATTTTGAGGGCAGAAGGAAAGATGATTGATTCAGGGGAATAACCAATCTGATTGTAAAAGGGGTGGGTCCAAGCAACTAGAGGAGGCAGGACCAACCAATCAGACGTCTTGGTCCCGCCTCCTCTAGTTGCCTGGCCCGACCTCCTCTGCAATCCGATTCTTTATCTCTATCAACCAACTGTTCTTCCTTCTGCCCTCAAAATATTTTCGTGTAAGTAAAACTCCCATGAGCTCAAAAACATAGACTGCCTTTGGGTCCCTGGGGACTGGAGCGGGAAACACTGTTCTAGAAGAAAGCAAGCGACTGATGGCTGATCTGCTTCCTGTGGTTCTCCTGGCACCCACTGCGCAGCTGCAGCAGCTGGAGCGCTTGCTGGCCATGCGGGACCTGCAGCTGGCCGAGGCGGAGCAGGTGCTGCACGAGCTCGCCGTCTGCACCTACGACGGCATCTTTGTCTGGAAGATCGCAGAGTTCTCCCGCCGCAGGGAGGAGGCGGTGAGCGGTTTCGCCCCCACCATGTTCTCTCCAGGTCAGAGTCAGCTCACCTCGGAGGGGGGGCAGGGGGGGGTTCCAGTTCGGATTCTCGTGGCAAGGAGTGAAGAGAGGGGCAGCTGCTACTCCGAGGAGATCTTATAAGGCAGTGTTTCCCAATCAGGCCCAGTCAAATCCAGAAAAGACCTTTGTGTATGTGGCTTTTCACTGCAAATCCCTAATTAGATTACTAATTAGGGCACTGATTGGGTGAAGAGTCCTCACACCTGGGTTTGAGTAGCTGACCTAAAGATTATCCCAAAAACCTACATACACACTAGTCCTTTGTGGATATGATTGGCCACTCCTGGTCTAAGGGGTATACAGCAGAAGGACCAATAACATAAACACCTAAACATATATGAATACCAAAGAGCTAATTAGGAGCAGGACCACCCTTTGCTTTTAGAACAGCCTCAGCCCTTCTCAGAATTCTGTCATGAACGTCTTGAATTGTGTGCAGTGGGATATGGGACCATTCAAGAGAAGCCTCCGTTTCTGTGAGGGATCAAAGTGTATTTTTGTCTGTGTTCAATACATGCATGTCTTTTCAGAACTATCCTCTTCGTAATATTGAATGATATAACATATTCTGTGACTGATGCACCTGCAGCTGGGTCACCAGCTCTCTGGCTTCTTGGAGACACTGACAACCTAATATGACTCTGTTTGCAATTGCTTCAAATTTTTTTTTTCTCTCTCCATGTGGGTTTTGCGGTATATCAGGGTGGGAATTCTGGAAAGCACATGAGATCCTTCTGATGTCTGCTTTCTGCATTCAGAGCTGAGCGTCTTGCGAAAGTCCAGTCGCTCATCCAATATGGTCGTCTGTCTTACAGCATTTTACTCCAGTAAATACGGCTACAAAATGTGTATGCGGCTGTACCTGAACGGCGACGGGACGGGCCGGGGGACGCATCTCTCACTCTTCTTTGTGGTGATGAGGGGAAAATATGACGGCCTGCTCAAGTGGCCCTTTAGCCAGAAGGTAGATTGAAGCCCTTGCGTCTGACCACTGTCTGAACAACAGCAGACAGTCAGATGCAAGAACGCTCGGTCTCTCCGCCCCAAACCCCTGTCCCTCTCTTCCTTGTCATTCCATACTGTCTCTACTGTTTTTTTCTCTCAAGGGAAACGAGGTCATGATTCCCTGCACCCCTACCTTAGTGCATCACCTGCTTACTGTAGAAAGTGCAGTGTTTTATGTAGTCCTGAGATCCAGCAATTCATTTTGGCCTCTGTAGGAGCTGTCTTAGTGTCTTTGCTCACATCTCTCATGCTATACACACCACACCACTCCAAGTTTTGTTCCTTAAAGAGGACAGTTAGGGCTTTAAGATGACATCACATGTGTGGACATGTGACCTTGCCAGCTTCCTCTTCCTATGAAATCAATGTTTTACTCAATAGTAAACATTTTCCCCTGGATCTCGGGGGAATATCACAGCCTCTTTCAGGAAATTAGTGTGTCATACAGTCTGGCGTTTATGACAGAGGCGTTTATGTAAACAAGGACCCACTTCTAAAATGCTAGATGTTTAAAATTGTGACCTGTTTAGTGTGCAATGTTTAAAGCTCTTTATAATTCCATCGCCATCTGGATTATTATTGTGATCAATCGTGGAGTGTCTTTCTTAACCAAGTTTCTGTCTCACTGGCAAGGTAACGCTGATGCTGTTGGATCAGAGCAACCGGGAGCATGTTGTCGATGCCTTCAGGCCTGACGTCAGCTCCACGTCGTTCCAGAGGCCCATCAGTGAGATGAACATCGCCAGTGGATGTCCACTTTTCTGCCCAATAGCAAAGCTTGGTGGGAAGAGCGTTTATCTCAAGGATGATACTATATTCATCAAGGCCATTGTGGACCTCACCAGCCTCCAATGAAGAGGAGCAATGATCACATTTTCTTAGTTGGTAGGGGTTAGTTTCTGAGTTATTCAGCATTTTATGGCTCTTCGGCAGAGGGAAGCTGTTTGACTACATGTGTTTCTTTGGAGATTAACTATTTTGCGCTGTTTTACTAATGTTGGTGGTAATTTGTCTTGTTTCTGTACCCCTTAGTGCTTTGTGGCTCAGTGGCTTGCCAGGTCAGGCATTCACTGGAATGATTGCTATTAGTGGAGACTAGTGGCACCTTTTGAATTGAATCTGGTATCTATTTACTCATTAATCTGTGTACTTTTATTATGACGTGTTCTATGAGCATCAGAGGTGTTGCTGGGAGCTTGCAGAAGTGGAGGCTTGTATAGCGCGGGATAGATGTAGATGTGTGTTAAAAGTCCATTCAACAGTTGACCCAGTTCAACAACTGTCCCCAGTCTCCCCTCCTTTCATCAAGCCTATAAATTATTCAAGATCAGACAAGGACAATATATAATTCTACACAGAAAAGTGCTGGAGAGAAATATGAGAGCACTGAAGCCACGCTGGCCGTTCTGTTTTGTGTAACTCAGACGATGGTATTTGCGGATATCAGCAATACAAGAAACGATAGATACTGGGTTGTGCGCTTGTCAGTCTTAAGGAGAACTGAGATGAAGACCGAAAACCATCTCAGCGCAGTCTTACTGTGTGTTCAAAATATTTAAATCCCTCCAGCTCTTTTTGGCAGGAGTGAATCTTGCCATTCGGAGTGTAATTCTGTGGAAGACAGAAGGGAGCCTGTTAACTTCTTAGCCAGCCTGCTAGCAGCCATAATGAAGCTTCAAGAGCAGGTTACTGCTGCTTTGTGGTATAGAGATTATCCAAAAGTTTTCCATGTGGAACTTACCAGCACTCTCTCTCTGCCTTGAATCAAACGTGTATATTTCATTAATTACATTCGTTCATTCATTTTCTAAAACCACTTATCCTGTTCATGGTGGCAGGGGGGCTGGAGTCTATCCCAGATGCTATGGGCACAAGGCAGAGAACAACCCAGGATGGGGCGCCAATCCATCGCAGGGCACACTCACACTATTCACTCACCCACACACACCTCTGGGCAATTTGGCAACCCCAATTAGCCTCAGCGTGTTTTTGGACTGTGGGGGGAGGGGGGAACGGAATTACATGAAGGAAACCCCACAAGAACATGGGGAGAACATGCAAACTCCACACACATGGAACCCAGGTTCCAGAAGGGTGAGGCAACAGTACTAACCACTGCACCACAGTGGCAGCCTGATTATTTACATATAAATTGTAAAAATTGGTGTATTACATAACCTGCTCACTACTGCCCCCATGACGCAACGCCGGATCAGCGGTGGATGGATGGATAACAGATGTATAATGCATGTATGTGTGTGTGTTGTATACATCGATATAATACACAAATAGACGCACGGACTCTGTAGGCAGTTATAAATCCAAATTGGCATGGTTTTTCATTCTTTTGCAGGTCCTGCGATGGATAGGTGTTTGATGAATATTTCCATACATTGTGCACTGTGCTGCCTGGGATGGTCTACAGCCCCCTGAGACCCTTTACTGGACAAGCAGTTTGAATAAGGATGGATGAATTTGATGGATGGATTTATCCAAATTTTTATATAGATACATCAATTTATCCATCATCTAAAACCATTCACTTATCTAATACAGCAGTGTTTCCCAATCCGGTCCGTGGACACCCACAGTCGGTCCATGTTTTTGCTTCCTCTGAGCCACATCAGACATTCTTGGAGCAAAAACGTGGCCTGTCAGTGAGTCTCCTGAGGACCGGATTGGAAAATACTGTTATACAGGGTCATAGTGAGCCTGATGCCAGACATGCAGGGCACAGGGTAGGGGACAGCCTGGGTTGGATGCCAGTCTGTCACAGGGCACACACGCTTCCAAGTGCTAATTCAGTACAGAGCTAGGACTGGGAATAAGAACCAACAATCCTAGATGTGTGCAGTCACTGACCTCTGAATCATCAAACTTCTAAATATTAATATATAGTCATTAATATGAATAATATTAATATATATCGAAATACATAACTGAAATCATTACATATTAAGAAAACTACACAGTATAATCAATATCACACGTATGTTTCATAAGGCCACCTGCTGAATTCCTCCCCACACAGCTCACTTGCTTGTGCATTAATTTTTGTGAAAAACACATTTTGCGTTTGCAGTCTAATAAACGATTATAATAAATATCATGTTGAACGTGTATGATGTTTGAACATAAAAAGTTTAACTATATGGGTAAATTATGCTACCTAAGAATGAAATAACAGTTGGGTGTTTTCTGACAATATTCAATAAATAAACGTAATTTAAATGATTATTTATGAATGTTATGTTTTATAACAAAACCTAATATCTGATTGATCTGCTTTGAATTAGTTTGTAATATAACCAATCTGGCCTAGTCGATTAAACTCTCATAACTTCGTTTTCTCTGTTCCGTCCTGGGGCTGTATTACATCATAATTTACCAAAATCTTAAATATGCTCTCCTAACTTTAGGGTAACAATTAAGCTGTCCTAGCTTCCCGTGTTCCCCTCATACTGTTCGCTATAACTAAATTATTTAATTCATAATGAAAATGTACGTAGCTCCGCTCATGACGTAACGATAAAATTATATATATATATATATATGTATATATGTGGCGGTCACGTTTTAATATATCGTGGGAATGAATTACAGTACGTAGTCCCTCCGTATCCGCGGATTACTTTGGTCCGAAAAATTTTAAGTGTGTTTTTTCATAGTTCTTTCGTCCTTCGACGGTTATAAAAAGCATGCTTCACATTGCTTCATTATCCCTTGATAGATGTTTTTCATTGTTGTATCATTTCTTAAGAATTATTTGTGATTGCGTAATTTATTAATTAAACTTGGCCATATTGTATAGGTACGTACAAGAAAATCATTCGGGCAGACTACTGTAGTAAAACGTGATCACGATATATATAATGTTTATCGCTATGTTAACATGAGCGTTGCTGTATACTTATCCTGAAGCTAGGAGAGTTTATTTAAGAATTTGGGAAGTTAAGAATTGTAAAATACAGTTTCCTGTCTTAGGATATAGGAACAATGACTTAGGAACTGTTCATCTATAATGCATCTGCAAGTCAGAAAGTTTCTGTAGTGCAGGCCCAAGACTGAAGAGACGTACAAAACGTGGTAATAAATTAACGAGAACTGGACAAGACGAAATCGGTCTGTTGTGACTTAGTTTGCAATTTAACTACTATAGATGTTACGTTTTTTTTAGAACCTACCCACTGAGTTTGATAGGTGACTTTGACAAATTATTGTAATGATCATTTTATCATTTTAATTGTGATTTAAAGAATAATTTAAATAGTAATTTAATTGATTATTTAAATTATTTAAATTAGGCCTACATTTTAATTGCAATTTAAAGTTATTCAAATGACATATTTATGAATAGCCATTTAGATGACAATTGAACTTACAATTTAAATACAATAAACGTTTAAATTACATATTCATTTATTGAGTAATTGTCACAAAACACCCTCGATAACATGTACATCCCGTATACCCCGTTATGCCTTTACGAGGAGGGGATTTTATTTTGAAATACAGTCATTTACGTCCAGCGGAAGTAACTACGTGGGGTGTGGTCTAGTCGGTGCGGGCCTCACGTGGGCAGTAATGGCGGCGTCCTGTCAGTAGCGGCTCATGTAAATAATGGACGATTTCCCTGTGAGCTTGGATTCCGATGGCTCTAATATGGAGTAAATAACGAGATACTCGTTTTGGAGCAATGGGGACTCCGGCTACTCGGCTGTATCGCAGCTTGGAAGGGCTGTTTGCGGTTTACAAACCGGCAGGGGTTCACTGGAAGCTGGTCCGGGACACCGTAGAAACCAACCTGCTGAAAGGTACATAGTGCAGGGCCAGTCTGGCTGTAGAACGGGGAAACTGCGGACTCACAAAAACGCACTTCTCGGACTGCTAAGTTTTTCAATTTTGTGTTTTGCAAAAAAAGGAATTTGCGTGAATGAAACTTTACCGATAATATACAAATATACATGCTATTAAGATAAGTACAATAAACATGTTTAGTTCATGATGAGGTTAATTTATTTAACTGATCTGATTTTCATCCAGGCCCTCCTTGGCGTGGCAGCGATAATATCTAATCAGCTAAGCATTACTCTAACGTGAGTGTCAAAGCGACGCGCTGCTCAATCTTCCTACAGGTATAAACTGTGCTCCACCTCCGGCGTTGCGGACCCAGGTGAAGTTTCTCCTGCAGAGCGGTGCAGGGAGTGAGGCCCATAAAGAGGTTACGCTGAGGCCGGTTCGGCTTCCGGTACTGGCAGATCACCCTCTCGGTGAGCTAAACATGCTGCTCTAAATTTGTCAGTGTTGCGTCTTTCTCTTCATTCTCATGCCATTCCAGTCTCATTCCCCATCGTTCCCAAAACGAGTCTTATCCCATTTTGCCAATTTGAAAAAGGACGGATTTTTTGTTGCAAATTAACTGAAAGATACCAACTTCACAAGTTAAAACATCCAGCATAGAAACTGAAATTGTCTTTTAACTGTTTATGAAATTAACCATAATTTTAACAATTTTCCCCCACATCTTATCCACTTCAGCCTATGTATACTAAGTGCAACATATTCAAATACAACAATAGTGTTAAAACAGTGTTCCAGAGTCACTTTCGGGGGATTTGATGTGCTTTGTTATTAATTAGCATTGGTGTATGACACATTTCGTGAATAAAGAGTAATAGTGCAGCGGATTGCGGAAAATCGATTTACATTTTCTGATGCTAGATACCACAGGTACTTCATGTGCATATTTTAACTGAAATGATAAAAATGGCGTGTGATGTGTTTTGGAAATGAACTCCTCATTTACTCCCACATCAACAGGGTCACGTGGCCCTTTTCCTCATAACTTTTGTCAGTGTATGTGAGCAGGCTGCATGGCGGGTGACTCTGCTCTCTCCCTGTCCTTCCCAGTAACTGGACCGGAGTTCCAGAAGCTGCGGGTTGGAGTGGGACATCGACTGGATGTATTTTCCTCTGGGGTCTTTGGTTTGTTTCTGACACACGTGATGCTCAGGTGCTGTATAAGCTTATGTGCTCAGGCTGATTAATGACACAGCGCCATGTTTTTCAGTACTGGGAGTGGGGAACGGAAATGCCAAGTTTAAGGAAATGTACGAGCGCTACAACACCAGGGTAACTATCAGTGCATCTGGCTGTGTGAGTCAGAGCACTGAAACTGCATACCAGTGTAAATACAGGAGTCTGTTATTATAAGCATGTCCGTGCTAATGTGTGTTTGTTATAATGTGTGTGTTTCATATTAGGATTACACGTTGGAGGGGGAGTTTGGTAGAGCTACAGATGACTTCTCACATGGCGGACGTGTCATTGAAAGAACAACTTACGGTATGGCTCCGCACAGACTGCTGTGCTGCGCTGGTTCATGCTGCATTCAGTCATAATGTAGAGGAATGAATCCAGTGGCTGTAGTAGAGTTTCTGCTCTGCTGGTCTTTTCTGTTTATAATTATTGTTTAGGTAAGTAGGTAAAATGACGAATTTGTTGCCTTACCTCCAGATCACATAACATGTGACAAACTGGAGAGAGTTCTCGCTATGATCCAGGGAGCCAACCAGAAAGCCTTGCTCTCGTAAGTGCGCCTTTCACTTCCATCTCTGCCTGTCCCCCTGACTTTTCAAATGAAAAGCCGGGTTTGAGCTGTTTCCCAGGGTCCTGTTGCATTGTGGTTTCTTTGATTGTCTTTGCCTCACTTGAACACCAGAGGGCAGCGCTGAGCGCCTTTCGGATTGTGAGTTTTATTAAGGTCATTCATGTCTCCGCAGGTACTCCAATGTAGACATGCGCTCCCAGGAGGCCTATGAGCTGGCAGTGAGGGGGATGCTGTTCCCTGAGGGGAAGACCCCACCCATCCTTACTGGCCTGCGTTGCCTGGACTTCCAGCCACCTCGCTTCACCCTGGGTACCCTGGCACTCCCTTCCTCATCTCCCGGCAGACAGACACGGCACCCTCCTCTGACTGGCAGTGCATTTTGACTCATTTGCAGCTTCTCTCCTGCAGAGGTCCAGTGCATGAACGAGACCCAGAGGTACCTGCGCAGACTGCTGCACGAAGTGGGCTTGGAGCTGCGCAGCTCGGCCATCTGCGTCGGCATCCGCCGCGTGCGGGATGGGCCGTTCACCCTGCAGGAGGCACTGACACGCCAGCGATGGACCCTGCCTGATGTGGCGCAGGCCGTCTGCCAGGCCCATTCCATTAGGAGAAAGAGTGGCAAGGCCTTTTCCCAAGGAGCAGGGTGACTGGGGGCAGCGGGGGGACACTGTCTTTGCTGTGTGCGTTTGCGTGCCGTGCTTGCGGCTTCCTTAAGGTGATTTTCTCAGGAGACGATTCCGTGACGTGCTGTGTGTGTCGCATATTGTGTAAGGCCACCCCCTTAGCGTCTGCGCTTTTCACTTCTCTGTGGCTTTTTTGATCCTCGTGTGACTGTATCTCCCCATTTTTTTTTCCTTACCATGATTGACAGTGATACTGAGGCTTCATAAATTCCACCATGGTGCTTTTGGTCTGAATAAACACCCAAAGCCATAAGCAGTCTGTCTGTCAGCTGGTCCTTCCTCCCTGTCCGTCAGGCTTCCCTGCGCCCGGTGACTGCAGGGCATGCCCCCAGGATTACTATGGAGCTCAGCACCCCCCACCCCCCAGGGTTACTCTGGAGGTCACCCCTCCCATCATGATTACTCTGAAGGTCACACCACCCGCCTCACGGTTACTCTGGAGGAGTCCCTTCCCCCTCACGGTTACTCTGAAGGTCACACCCCCCCCCAGCACAATCTTACTTTGGAGCTCACTCCCCGCCCCCCCCAAAGGCTTCAAATTAACCCTAAGGGGGGGGGGGGTGAACCACAGGAACCTTACTATGTCACCCCTCAGGGTGACTGCAGTGCTCACGGACACCTGCAGCCCAGCGACTACGTGTTAATTACAGCCAGTTATTTTTAGGTAGTGTCGCCGTATTTACAAACTCTTTTATTTCTGTCAGTCATCGGCAGCCACATTTGTTTAGTTTCTGTAGTTACTAGCCTGCTAATTAAATGCCCTTTGATGTCTTCATGTTTTTTCCTCTGAGCTCTCGGCAGCCCTGCATGTACAGTCCAAGTCGCTGGGGAGCAAAGTGGAGCTCGGATACCCTGAAAAGGACACAGGCTCCCCTGAAAGCTTCCCCTGAGACCTTTAGGGGGAGCTCTAAGAAATTGTCCACTTTCGTCTTATAGATTATACTTTATTTTCAGTACATTAAGGTTCCTGAAATAAAAAAACAGCAATAGTACAAATATGTGGATGTTGTGTGTTTATTCGCTCCTTCCTTTCCATTTTCCGAACATCCGTCTCCACTAATTATCAGTGTTCTGTGTCCTGCTGTGGCCATCCATGCATGGCAGTACTGCACTCATTACTAGGTTTACACCTGAACTGCTCATCATTGAGTGGATGCAGCTTTTGAAAGGAAGTCGTTAACTAAAACAAAGTGTCTTTATTCAGTATTTTGGAGCAGTTTATGGATTCAGTGTCAAAACTGAAACAAGCCCCCGGAGTGGCAGAGAGGGACAGAGAGAGAGATGGAGCTGACAGCTACTGTATTTCGCTGTGGTTAAAAACAAGCTAGCGGAATAATGCTCAGCTTTTTTTTTCCCAAGTGATGTGTTGTGCTTGATGGGTGTGTATGAGAAGCAGAAAGATGTTACCTGTAAAGATACTACCCTCTGCTTTGGGAGTTTGTTTTTTGTTACTCTGATCAGACTAATCAACTTCTTGCGTGATTGTTATGTTATAGTGCTTGTATGAAATGTAACTGACTATTAATTGTCTGCAGTAGGAATAGTAGAATGCTTTCCATAGAAACCCTGTTATTGACCGCACTGTTGTGCACTCCTATGTATACTGTATGTGTGCGTGTGACTTAGGAAGTCGTGGTGCACACTGGAGAATAGGGCTTTCCCGAAATTCACTGTAATTCGAACTGTGCCTGCATGGATCCATTGTTAAAAGACACAGATGTTAAAAAATGCCAGGATGTGTTAGTGTCGTGTTTCCGTTCGTACGACGCACACCTGCAGTGTTATATTGTTGTTTGCTGGGATGTACAGGGTGTGAGATTTTCAATTCGAGATAAGTCTGCACACTCATTTACATGCAGGTAACAGTTTTTTTTTTTTACATTGCAAATAGTCTGTTGGGTTTGCAAACTACGCCAGCACTTTTGGCATTGCAAATTTTAGACGTGCAATGCAATAACATAGATTTGCTGTAAGATTATTTGCGTAAGTGTGAGAGTCAAAAAGTGTCACGCCAGATGCGTGACAGTTGGCAGCCCTGAATGTAAATAATATATGAGCATCATATTATCTATCAGATCAGTTCCAAAGTAAAACTACTGGGCTTTCATGGTTTGTACAGGATGGACACTGTTCAGACAAAGTGGCCTTTATACCTGTAGGGCTGAGGTTTGAATCCTCTCTCCACTCTCTTGGGGACTTGGAATCCTTCCACATTTCAGTGAACTGAATTCTCAGAATGGCCAGTAGGATGCGATTGTTTGTGTGAATGTGTGTCTGCCCTGCAACTGGCATCAGTACTCCAGCCTTGTGCTGAATTCTGCCTGAAATGGGTTCCAGACCCTCCTTGAACCCTGATTAGGATAAGGAACTAAAAGATGGATGGATGGGACTCCTGACTTAGAGCCAAATCTGCTTTAAATTCAGCTGTTTCCTTTATATTATGATAACCCCATCAGTCTTCCATATGCACTTATTCGATGCAGGTCCTACCCCCAGGAATTCACATGGCCTAAGGGCACACCATTCCATCACAGGGCCTAGCTATAAGAATACTGTTATTATTTATGTCATGTTTTAATAAGCGTTTCCCAGTCTACATTCTCTGCCAGCAGCCCAGGGGTACAAAGTGCGATGTGATGGGACGTGATAAGTGTTATACTGTGGAGTTCACCAAAGTAAACATGAAGCATAAACGCTGTGGGCTGAAGATAAGGACCTGGTCTGCCCCAAAGGCTTGGCTTTATTGTAAAATGGAATTCCTGCTCCCTTAGCACACCAACCCTTATCCGTTTGATTCATGGTGAGGCGTTACATATTTCGTCATTGTCTATCCTCCCTTCCACCTCTCTATCTTGCCCGGGGATTGGGTCCTACATCCTATCTCAAGAAGAGGAGGGTGCAAGAGCTCATGTGAGGAAAGACGTCTGCCCCCCCCCCAGATATCCGTCCTGCTCTTGAGTATGGCAATTCCCTTGACATAATGGCAGTGACTCACTTGTGCTATCGGTCGCCAGATGTTGGAATGAGATTTGTCATTAAAATTTCTTACAGCTCGCGCTCGCTTCGCAAGCACATGCCGATACCTGTCTTAGAGGTGCAGTGAACCAGTGGGGTTCAATGATTCTGTACAAAAAAGGCAGACAAAAAACCAATGAATACAAACAAAGGGTTTCTGGACTTGGATCAAGATGAATGGATGTTCTTGGGTGTCGCTGTCTTGTGCACGACGGAACAGACGCATGCCGACACCGTGATGGGGATCTGTGAAGAGGGACATTTCAGCAAGATTTTTACGACAAAGTCTTTCAGGTAGATTAAAGTTTTTTTTCATATGTAACGTGATTTGGTGCTCTGATGATAGTAATTCACGGGGAAATTTGAGTATTTGTTTTGATCGTGGAGATCTTGGCGTGACTAAGGACAATTGAGTGTGCTACAGGAAATATTAAAGTGAAACTTGCACTTGTATTTTCAATCCTCCTGCATATAATGGCCAAGTCCGATTAGCAAATCAGTAATTACCCGTGACGCCGTGTGAATGGTCCCGGCTGTAGGGGGAGACACAGGGCGTGAGCCTTGCTTTTGTGGTAGTGTTTGGGGTAGTTCTGTCCACACTTAAACACAGGTGTTCTAGGCCAATGAGACATTGTGAGGCAAATGACACAAAGAGGTCATTAAATAATAGATGCTAATAACTTGAACAAAAAAACAATCCAACCGAGATGATAAGGGCAGGAATGCCAAGCAGAGCCGTTAATGGACAGCCTCGTCTTACCGAAGGGCTGAGGAAATAGAATCCGCTTACCATCCTGCTTGCCACTGAAATTCTTCCTGAAAAAGTTTCACATTATTGCCCAAGGCGTGCCTGCTGCTGGCTTTGCACTGACCTTGGAATAGTACACAGAGATATTGTACTTAAGTTGATGTCAGCTGATCTCCAGTGATTCTCTGTGTATTTCTTCCTTTGCTTGCAGGTTACTTCACGCTTTTATTAATTTCAACCAGCCAGAGACGTTCCGGCCAAATTCAGGTCAAACTGCAGTGCAACCTGATATCCCATCACCTCAAACAAGGTTCACTTTCCAGTCCTGTTACGCTCCTGTCATTTAGGCTGCAGTTGTGGAGTTTAATGATTAATCTACTGAGTTTAATCAGGCCCCTGTTCATTTTTCTGCTTCTTGTTTTGTCCAGTTTCCTCTTGCTTGCGTAGCTTTTCTTTTATGTTGTACTGGCTCCCTGGCTATTGCATTTTGACTGGCAGACACGGTACAAACACAGATGAGTGCCCCTCTATCTTTCTGTTCTGACCCCTCCCACAATGTACACCCTCAGCAAACCTCCACCCAGAACAGCTTCCTAATCCACCCTATAAATTGCAGAAGCAAGACCAAACAAACACATATGGTCCCTTCCGCTCAAGAATTGCTCTGTATGGAATGTGTAAACACCACCTGAGCCGTGTTACATATTTACTGTCCCACAGGTGGCAGTGGCCTGAAGGAGGGAAGAAGGGAGATAGAGAGAGAGAGAGAGAGAGAGAGAGAGAGAGAGCGAGAGCGAGCAGGAGGGAGTGACAGAAACATAATTCTAGTTTAAAAGCACAATTGTAGAGTGGCTGAATGCTTGTTGGTTAAGACAGAGACTGGGTGAAGACTGAAGCTTGAGGGTAAGTGAGACAGCTTTCTTCTAAGTGGGTTCATGTTCTGCATCTTCTGACTGCTGGACATTTGTGGGTTAATAGATAACAGACTGGGATAGCCCATCTGTGTGACAGTGCTGCCTATCACAATCTTTCATCTATGCTTGATCTATGGACACAAACTCAAACCAGTAGCGTTTGGAAGGAGCGGGTCCTGGGCTTAGAGACGTGTAGGTCAGAGAATGAGGGTCTCAGAAGGGGAAGCCTGGACATTCCAGACTTTCCTGTAGATATTAGAGCTTCTAGATCTGTAGTGCAGCAGCATAAAGGAAGCACCCCACTGCGATTCTGTAGTATGTATAACCGGTACATACAGTGTTATAATAATCATAATCCTCCATATTTAAAACGGCACTGTATTTCACTGCACTGTATTTTGAAAGTTAAAGATGAAATGTAATGCAGGATCAGGAGCTGGATGGTATAGAAATTATGTTTATTCCGAAAAAAGAATTGCGTGACTGAAGCTGACGGTGACCTGGTGTCTCACACCTCCACCGCTGGGGGTTTGAATCTCACCTCCTGTCTGAACGGGGTTTACATGTTCTTCCTGTGTTTGCATGGTCCATAGACATACTGGCTGATTAGCATCCATTAGCATCCATTATTTGCAGCTCTGTTCCAAATGCAGCCTGGGACATGCTCCACCCCTGAGATAAGTGGTTAGAATGAGGATGCATATAGCTGACCTTAGTTTCTGTCCATTATTAGACTGCAGGAAAAACTCAGACATGTTCTCCTTATAACTGTTACTTCCTTGTAACAGTACATGCAAGTCATGCAGCAAATGCAGGACCACAGAGGTCTAACAAGTTCTGTCATATTTATGGTGTGAATGGAAATGCATTATTTAATGAATTGACAGAATGTAACAAATCGAATGACGATAATAACAACAATGATGATGATAATAGTGGGATAATCTCGCAACATAAAATGACAATGTTATTACATAATGCAGCATTATTACATAATGAGTTTTCACACAATATTTACAGAAAATCATGGGACCAACAGCCTAAAGGAATTCATTTCAGAGAGGCCAAGCACAGTTTACTGTACATATGTTTTCCTCTATGGCTCCAAAAGATTCCAGTGGTCCTGTATCCTGTAGCACTGATCAGTCCAAACTAAAGCAAATGGCACATCTGACACGGACAGACTTCCTCACATTGTCCAATTTTTAACAGGGACTGAAAGCTAAAACAGTGTAGATCCATCTCACATGTATGTTCACATGAGTATTGGTTCATTCAGTACAGTTATTCTTTCTCACTTTCTTGCTGTTGTGGGCTTGTGATTATGGTCTTTGATTATCAGTCTTTCTGGAGGATTTCCTTTCAAATTCTTACGCTACGCTATTGCACACTGCGTTATAATGACTCCAGGGCAGCTCACAGTCCACAGGATACATCAAGTACAAAGAATTTAGCATTTCAGTGATGTGCCTGCAGTAGCAGTGCCACCTGTTTTATGGTGGTGTTGATGGGAACTAGTCCTGTGCTTCTCACATCGAGTGACTTTGAGAAATGAGAGGGCTGAGAAGACTACTGCAGAGCCCTCACACGTACAGCGCTTTAAAAGCTACACTAACCACAGGAAGTGGACAGTTACCAAGCAGTTTTACAAACGAAAACACTCAAGGTTTATATTGAAGTAGTCGCCTTCTTGGCAGTTACAACAGTGGAAACTAATGGCGGTCATCCGTTTTGCTTTGTTCTTGCCTTATCTCGCCTTTCAACCCGCCACCTCTCAGCCCACTCTTTTCTCACATCATTAATTACATACAAAACATTTATCAATGTATATTTCCAGACTTTGCTTGTGACTGATAATGTGTGTGGGCTACGCTAATGTGAACCTGTCTGTTTGTCAGGCTGTTAGTGTGTGTAGCTTGTCACAATGACTTGACATTTATTTACTTACTTGCACAAACGCAGACACTTTTGTCCAAAGTGAAATACAAAAGAAGCAGGTAGTACAACCTTATTTCCAAAGAAGTTGGGACGCTGTATGGAATGTAAATAAAAACACAATGCAATGATTTGCAAAATCTCTGTAGGCAAGGGACAAGGCCAGTAACCAATACTGAGCAGCCGTGGTCTTTGGGTCCTCAGGATGGCACTGCATTAAAAATAAATACAATTCTATAGTGGAAATCACTGCATGGGCTCAGGAACACTTCCGAAAACCGCTGTCTGTGAACACAGCTTTTCGCTGCCTCCACAAATGCAGGATGAAACACTACAATGCAAAGAAGAAGCCATATCTAATCATGATCCAGAAACGCTGCCGACTTCTCTGGGCCTGAGTTCATTTATGATGAACTGAGGCAAAGTGGAGAACTGTCCTGTGGTCTGATGAATCAAAATTTCAGTTTCTCTTTGGAAATCATAGCTGTTGCGTCCTCCATTGAAGACATTCGGCACATCATGAAACGAAAAATACAACAATGGAAACCTCAAACTGTTGAACAGCTAAAATCCTATATTAGGCAAGAATGGGACAAGATTTCACTTTCAAAACTCCACCAACTGCTCTCCTCAGTTCCCAAACATTTACAGAGTGTTGTTAAACAAAAGAGGTGATGTAACACAATGGTAAACTTGGCCCAGTGCCCACAAAAAGAGCTATTCACATCAAAACACAATGAAAGCTAGGATCCTAGTAGACAAGTACAGTACAAGAAAATGCAGTATTGCTAGGAAACCATAACTGAGGGCTGGCCAGTGATGGAGTAGGTCATGGATGGAAGCATTTTTTGAAAGTTGAGAGGTACTCTGCTGACTGGATGTAGATCGTATGTATCTTGTTCTACCATTAAAGAATGACATATAGGAAATGTCTAGAGTGAGACGTCACATGTGGTGGAGGGATCTTGAGGTGCCGTGAGCTTGCTGACCAAAGAGGAAGAAAAGGCATGTAGGTTTTTCTGAAGGCGCAGAAGTAATCTAATGAACGAAACACAACTGATCATTAGATTCCTTCTTCACCTTCAAAAAATGCCTCAGGACTGATGTCTCTCTGTGTTCCCTGAATGTTCTTAATGTTGTACATCTGGTCATTGTACAGTCATATTAGGTTCATTATTTGTTGGAAGATATTGTATAGCTTCTGCTCCACTTACAGCTGCATCTGGGCATTCATTGGAAGCTCAGTCTAGCTGCACTTGTGTCCAGGCGATACTTTGACAGCACATATGTTTGTAATGTGCCATTTGCCTGACCTGGACGCCGCCTTGGGCAAAAACATCTGCTAAATAAAAGGTATTGATGTGTGCAGGTGGGCGCTGTTCTGTTAGCGAATCTGACGCGCAGCACCAGTGACTTGAACTTGATATGGGTGCCTGTCTGTTTGAAGCTCTGGTCAGGATAGAGCTGTTGTCTCATGGTGAAATGACGAGTGACTGGACTAGGAGCTGATCTGCATATTGTAACAAATATGAATCTACAAGGTGCAGTGATAAACACCATTGCTTCACACCTCTATATATATATATAAAATAATTATAATTAATATATATAAGTAATTATATATGTCCTGAAAACAAAACCATAAAGCATATGTGGCTGACTCATGTACATACAATGTAATAAGGCTAAAATAAAAGGGACAGAAAAACACTAGAAATGGTTGGGGTTCAAAGGGCTAACTCAGTACTGTGATTGGATGTAAAACATCCTGCTTCAAAGTTCAAATGTAACTAATAAGGTGTGTCTTATTTAAAAATGTTACATTTGTACAGAAGCATTTATATTGAAATTTTAAGGGAAAATTCCATGGTTCAAATTATACTGTGACACAATTTTAGGCCATACTACCTAGCCCCAAGATGATGCATAGGCTCCACATTTTATAGTGTGTTGTGTTATGTAGTCTGTTTCCGATCTAGACTTGGTCTAGCCCTACTTTGGTCTTGGTCTTGTCTCAGTCTCGATACACTCTGGTCTTGGTAATGACTTGGTCTCGGTCTAGGTGGTCTTGACTACATCACTACCTAGGTTCCTGGTAGATCTTTATGCAGATAATGTCTGTGATCCAAGCTGTAGAGTGATATGATGGTAAATGGTAGAGGCAGCAAGGAAGAAAAGAAGCTTGGTCACTGAGAGGTTCAGGTGGAGATGGTGAACCCTCATCCAGGCTGTGATGTCAGTGAGGAACTGTCTTTAACATGAACATACCATTTTGTCAGTATCAGTCAGCATGTCTCTAACGTGAAGCTGTTCTTCTGCCTTGTCAGCTCATTTGAGTGAAGGTGCCATGGGAAAGCTGCCAGCGAGACATGCTGTGTTGGGCATCTTGATGTCCATGGTGTTGGGTGCCACCATTATCGCACTAATCCTCATGGTCGTCCAGAATCAGACTGTAGACAGGCCACTAGGCCCTAAGGTGAGAATATATGCTATTTCCAGTGACTGACAGTGACCCTTTCAGTTTGGGACTCTGCGCCTTGGATTGAAAACACTGAGTGAACAGTGCATGTGTGTGACCCCTTCAGTATGGAATTGTGATCGACGCTGGCTCCACCCACACCGCCCTGTTCCTGTACCGGTGGCCCGCCGGAAAGGAGAACAATACTGCCATCGTGTCCCAAGTTGGGCTGTGCGACGTGGATGGTGAGTACTAGGCCAAACCTTCTCCTACTGAACCAGCTTCACTTTCCTGTTCATAATGCCTCATTGGGCCTCCTTGCCATGTTTGAAACCTCATTCTCTGTTCATCTTCTGTTGCATGGTCTGGCCTCTTCTGTCTTATGTTCTCTGTCAGAAAAAAGTACCAATTTGTACCTTTTGAGGGTACGGTTACTTGTCACTGGGGTTGTACCCTCAAGGGTTTGCCAATCGAACCCTTAGCTACACATAAATGTACCTTTTAAGGTACAGAAATGGATGCTGAGGGACATTTTTGTACCATTGAGGGTGCATTATTGTTGCTTGTCTCTTGTTTTTCTGACAGTGTTTGTATAAATCAATAATTTCTTCAAAAAATGAACATTCAGCGTGAAATGCATTTTTAATTTTTGTTGTGAAAAGTATTTTAACTTAGTCTGCAAAGTTCTGCAAATCGGTAGTGTGCCGCCTGATCGGTGACCGTACTGCCCCTCTCCAGGTCCTGGCATTTCCAGCTATGGCTTAGACCCCCCCAGAGCTGGGCAGAGTCTGGTGAAGTGCCTGAGAGATTTGAAACAGGCCATTCCAGCAGGGCAGTGGGGAGCGACCCCCGTATACCTGGGGGCCACGGCTGGTATGCGGCTGCTCAAGTGAGATGGCAGCCTTGCCCCCCACCCCAAACACGCAGCTGTGGCTGGTGTTTAAACAGCATTTATGAAAATGACATGTTAATAGCACTGTTGTAGTAAACAAATTACAAAGTGACCTAACTGAATGTTAACCTGAACTGTAGATTGCAGAACGCAACCCAGGCTGATGAGGTCATGAAGGAAGTTTCCAAAGCCATCCAAAGGTATCCCTTTGATTTCCGCGGAGCTCGGATACTCTCTGGTGTGGCGGAGGGGGCCTATGGCTGGATCACCATCAACTACTTACTTGAGGGATTTGTCAAGGTAGGTGGAGGTGATTTTAGAGCTGCTTTGTATGGTGAAAAATTCCAGTTGAGATGATTTCCACAGCCTTTGGTTCCTCGTGGTAATAAAATGGATCAGGAAGCCAAAACATCTTTATAATGAGCCTGGAGTTATTGATCCACAATCTTGGATCATGTATCATAGCTTCTATTATTTGTTATCAAAGAAACAGATTGTTGGAGTAGCCCAGTTCCCTGCTGGAATTTGGTGTACCTTGTACCAAAACAGTTTATGAGAGGACATCAGCAGTGGATGTGGAGAGGGGTGAAGTTCACGGGCTCCATGGTGTAATCTCACGTGCTGCTGGGTGACAGTTCTCCTTCCAGGGAAAGTGGCTGCACCCTGTAGGAAACAACATCCTGGGAGCTTTGGACATGGGTGGGGCCTCCACCCAAATCACCTTTGTCCCAGCAGGCCCGGTGCAGGACCCGCAAACGGCGGCGGATTTCCGCTTGTACGGCTTTAACTACAGAGTGTACACGCACAGTTACCTGTGCTACGGCAAGGAGCAGGCTATGAAGCAACTTCAGGTGCAGCTCCACACGGTAAGTGGGAGGAGCCTAGCCTGATGGCCGAGATGCGTGATAGCCACACCCTGGTAGATGGGGCCGTTGTGATTGTATCTAGAAGGTGATAGCTCCACCCAGGTAGGCATGCCTAGCTGTCATCTGAGGCTGGTGAGAGCATCTTCTCCAAAGAGGATAAGGTCTTACCACAGGAAACTCTATGCAGGTTGACTGTTAGTTTATCACTGAGCACTCATCCCCCCCCCCCACTACAGGTAAATTTTTCTCAGAACATCTCACACCCCTGCTACCACACGGGATTCCGGCTGAATCTGACCTTGGGTGACCTCTACAATTCGCCCTGCGTCAAAAAACCGACGTCCTTTGACCCGGCCGCCAACGTGACCTTCTACGGGAGCAGTGACCCGGAAAAGTGCTCACAGCTTGTGCAGCGTTTATTCAACTTCAGTGGCTGCACCTTCTCACCCAGCTGCTCCTTCAACGGCATCTACCAGCCACCTGTCAACGGCAACTTCTTCGTAAGACTCCCTTCGGCGTTTCTCATGTGGCAACACTAAATAAAAGCAAGATTTCATTATGTGAAGAGTTACATGCAAACATGCACTGCGTCAGTCTACGATTATAACACATTAGAATAAAATAGGTTATTTTTTAATAAGTTATTTGCAGTATTATCTAAAAGCATCATATTATGTAATATGATGGAGACTCCAGTGTACTGGAAGAGCAGTGATGGATGGATGGAAGTCATTCTAAGGCAGGATTTTTCTGAATATAGACCATGGCTCTCCAATGGAGGTTCTAACAGCCTCTAACCCCTGCCCCTCCTCAACCCCCAGGCATTTTCTGCTTACTTCTACACCTTCAACTTCCTTGGCCTGGTTCCTCAGGCTTCTCTGTCCCGTGTGAACAGCACCATCGACTCCTTCTGCAGGAGGAACTGGACTTCGGTGAGGCACCCCCCCCCCCTACCCTGCCCCTGTCATTGTGATGATGATGGGACAGGATAGAGGTGACAGTGCATTATGAGGAGGAGGAAGTGGCCACAGCGAACAGTCACTGGTTCCATCAAAGCAGAGGCTTCATGAGCAGAGCATTATCAGCATTGACTGATGTTTGTTTATCGCAGGTGAAGACAGCATATCCATCAGAGAAAGATAAATACCTCCAGGATTACTGTGGCTCAGCTGTGTACATGAAGGCCCTCCTACTGGATGGCTTCAACTTCACTCAGAACTGGAACAGCATTAGCTTCCAGAAGAAGGTGAGAACACACAGTACTGTACAAATTTGAAGGAAGTGTTTGCAGCTTTTTGTCTAGGTAGTAACACATATGCAAAAAGTAACACAGTAAAAACTGTTTTTTTTTCTTTCTTTTCTCCAAAAAGTTACTGAGATCTTGTTGGATGGCTAGAAGAACACTGTATAGTACCCAAACCCCTCGTCAGGGGGCGCCTCAGTTATTCCATGAAATTAATAAATTTCATTGCAAGCTCACTTCAATCAATCAATTAATTAAATTAAAAATTCAATGAGGTATTGATCAGCCATACAAGGTGGGGTACTGGTTGAGTCAAATGAAGTACCTTTTCATTTAGCAGAGGTTTTCTTTGGCTGCCTAAGACTTTAGCACAGTATTGTAGATCCCAATCAAACAACTGCTAAACAAACAAAGTTAAACAGGTGTGTCCAATGAGAGTCGTTGTTAACAGTGAGTGAATGGAAATCATGGACAACTTTGTGTGTGTCTGTCCTACAGGCAGGAGATGCAGACATTGGCTGGACATTGGGATACATGCTGAATCTCACCAATCTAATCCCCAGTGAACCACTGGCACCAGTGACTGGCGTGGAGCACGGTCAATGGGCTGCAGGCATCTTCTTCATTGTGTTTGTCATGATCCTCAGCATCCTAGTTCTATTCATCCTGAGTGTCCGCAATACAGCCAACTGACAATAAAGAAAGGATGGAAAACAAAACATATGATTAATGCAAAAGCACAGTCAAGACAGGGATAACCAAGAGCAAGACAGGGATAACCAAAAGCAAGACAGGGATAACCAAGAGCAAGACAGGGATAACCAAAAGCAAGACAGGGATAACCAAGAGCAAGACAAGGATAACCAAAAGCAAGACAGGGATAACCAAAAGCAAGACAGGGATAACCAAGAGCAAGACAGGGATAACCAAAAGCAAGACAGGGCTCCCATGTCTATTTAAGATTAAATTATACTAATGTATTAGTAAACAGGAATATTGATGCAAACTTTACATTCATATAGTGTGGTTGTTATAGGTGATGCAAATCGCTCGTTTGAGGGGGAAACACCCTACTTGTAGATTTTTCCGGAAGTTTTTCCGTATTTTTCAGTGAGCTGTGAAATTTATTAGAACAAATGTTAATATAAGTGTATTTTATATATGTGATATATAAATATCTGTATAAATGTGTATATATAAATATACATGCAAACGGTCGCTCCTCGGCTTAGATGTGCAGACCATTGCACATTTTTTTTGAAAGTGTAATTTTTTCTAAACAAACTCAGGAAAGAACCAGCTGCTGGAACCGGAAGAGGGGAAAGGGGCGACTTCCTTTGAGGTGCCTTCCTCAGGAAAAACCTCTATTTTCAGGCTTCCCATGACATGGTATCTGAGGATATATGGACTGTCTGATTCAGATTTATGGATCCTGAGGTACAAGTCTGAACTGGCATTAATGACTGGCCTGAAATCTGTAATGTGTGTAACCTTGACTATATTTTATGTAGAAATATCTTTGCTGGCTGCACTGTAACACTCACATTAGTGCCTCGGCCTCACGAATGATGGATTTTGTATGGGTCCTTGTTAAAGTCTGTCCAAGCCCATTTTTTCCTCCTCATCTTCTTATGTAAGGTTTAGCGTTAGGGTTCAATTTTGCTCTTGTAAAAACCCAGAAAATGCCCGGTACACCAGATTGGCCAGTCCAGGCCTGCCTTTGACTGATGGCGAGTGAATGAATTCTGTCACCTTGAACCCAACATGTTAGCTGGTGATTTGTTTGTGTGCAACACCATCTTTGTATGTTTGTGAATACCTGAAATTCAGAAAAGCAAAACTCTTTCTATTAGGATACATTTATTTTTGTTATCTATTATAAGTTATACAAATTATAAATAAAGATTTTATTAGTGTAAATGCACCACTTGCTGTTTATCATTCATCTAACCCTTTACAGGTGTTTCTCAGCTTACAAGTTCATAAACAGGTTATGAAAATACAATGTGGCATTACACTGAACATTGTATTTATTTGTCATGTGAAAGGCAAAGTTTTTTCAAACTATAATGTCACTATTAATACATGAACTGTACTTTGCCTCCCTCTGCTTGGGAAAAAATGTTACTGCAGATTGTACCTCAGAAAACTGGTAATTCTCTCCTCTCTGTGAAAACACATTTTCAATGGGTATCATTTACAAGTAATGCGTCATAGCAGCTAATCTCCATGGTTGTGGGTATGGCCCCTGTCAGGAAGTGCAAGGTATGAGTTAGCCCAAAGTCCTGGGTTTTTGGGGACTTGTGCGGCTTCAGGCTATCGAAACTTAAACTGGTTACTAGGTTACTGTAGAGGACTGGTTTATATACTATGGGTAACTTGTGGCTATGGTGGCTGATTAGTGACAACATGCCACAAATTCTAAAAACACTTTAATCAAATGACAACATAGGATCTACATTTACAAACATGCAGCAAATCAATGAGAAAATTGAGAAAATGCTTCGGTCAAAATGACGATGCCCACACTACATTTCCTGAATGCTGTAAATTGACAGATGCAATACACATCCTGAAAACACATGTGAAACGAAAAACACTGCAAATTCTCTCAGAGCACAACGGAAATGAGCCACAGCATAAGGGGAAATTCTGGGGGGCAATGAAACACGATGGCCCATTGGGGCTGGGTGGAGTATGGAATGTTTAGGGTTCATTGATAAAGTGTCAAAACTATATTTAGGATGACACATTTCCATTTATATCAACATGTTTTCGTGCAGAAACTTCAGTGTTTGCAACACCCCGTAAAAAGCTAATTTAAACTGAAGTCCAAGTATTAAACACTGATGCTCGCATACAAAGCCAAAAATGATCTGGCTCCATCCTACCTAAAAGACCTCATCACACCCCGCACTGCACCACGATCTCTCTGATCCTCCAGCACTGCTCGACTGGTCCCACCACCCCTCAAGGCACAAGGAAGACACACCTCCCGGCTCTTCTCTGTTCTGGCACCAAGTTGGTGGAATGAACTCCCCCTAGATGTCCGAACAGCTGAGTCACTGAATGTCTTCAAAAGACGACTTAAAACACGCCTTTTCCAGAAATACCTGAATTAACACTTCTGGCATTATACTCTGTCTTTTCCTTTTATATATATATATAAAAAAAAAGCACTTTCCCAACAGAGTATTAGATCGATGGTATTCATAGCCTTGGTTTTATTGAGCTAGTATCGGGAAAAATTCATTGTTGTCTTAAAGCACTTATGTAAGTCGCTCTGGCTAAGGGCGTCTGCCAAATGATGTAAATGTAAATGTAAATGTAATGTATGAAAGCCTTCGTTCCACTTATTTTGGAGATATCGACATTGGTGATCGAACCTGTCATCAATCTGAATATCTGGAACAATCCAGTGACCCTTGTGAAACAGCAGTTGACCACCGGGACAAACCTAGTGACAGTCTAGAGCAGGGGTCTCCAACTCCGGTCCTGGAGAGCTACCGTCCAGTAGGTTTTCTATCATACCTGGCTTCTGATGAGTCACACCTGTTCTCAGGTAAATACCAGGAACAGGTGTGGCTCATCAGAAACCAAGTGGGACAGAAAACCTACTGGATAGTAGCTTTCCAGGACCGGAGTTGGAGACCCCTGGTCTAGAGAGACTGCTGACTGGAGGGAACAGACATCAGTGTGACTGGCACGGGCCAATGGAAATAATTATCCATGCATCATGGGGGTGGTCGGAGGAGAATGCTTGAAGAATGGGAAGCTTCTTCCACCAATCAGAGCGTATACGGATGACATGACCACAATAACAACAACAAAAGCATGCACCAAATGCCTGCTGGGATAAACTCGAGGGAAACATGAAATGGGCATGAATAGAGATTAAGCCAAGTAAATCCTACAGTATTTTTATTGCCAAGGAACGGCTTACTGATGATTCCACATTAACAATGAGCCAGTAGCAAATGTCCAGGAGAAGCCTCAGATTATAGCACAATGCAGATTTCAAAGACATCAAGCAGGTAAAACAACTTAGGCAGGATACAATCAGCCTCAAGCAAGTCAACAGCTTTACTCTGCTAGGGAAAATGAAGCTTTCACCTTTGACTGCTGCCCCGACTCATGTAGTCAATTATCAACTATGAGGTCACCATATAATCATGCTGGAGAGAAGTGAGGAAGTGGCTTGGGCTTCCAAGATGCCTCAGCAGCATCGGGTTTTACAGGAAAGGAGTCCTGTCACTGTCAATCTTAAGCCTTGTGGAGGAAGATAAATGTGCCAAAGCATGGCTGGAGATGATGCTCACAGAATCTCGGGACTCATTCATAAGATGCATTGTTCCAACCCTAGCAACAGGGAAAAAAGGGACCCAAGTCACAGCAGAATAAAATCTGCCTTCCGAAACTGGGATATTGTGGGATATGTTCAGCAAGTCAAAGGGGGGCTTGGCCTGCGAGCAAGGAAACCTAGCTAACAAAAGGTGACTCCAACTGAACACCAGCACCTGGCGGTGAAGATGTGCGCAACCAAGAAGCAGCCAGATGTGCCAAAGCAATATCCCAAACTAAGCAAGGCTGCTGAATGTGGTAAGAGGGTGTCGAGAGTAAAAACTCTCATGGAGCAAGCGGTGGAACCTGGAGTCAAACTGGTTGAGCTTCATCTTCAGAGCCGGATACGGTGTCCCGGCCTCTCCCACAAACTTAAATCTTTGGTTCGGGAGAATCAAACCAGACACTCCAGTCTATCCCTGTATGTGGATCCTGCAACCGTCAAGCACATCTTGGTTGGTTGCAAGACCAGCCTAACACAAGGTTGACTCACCATGGCGACCAGTTGTGGGCAGGGTTCCGCTAATCTGCTAACTGCTAATTAGTGAAGCTAACTTTTTCTTTAGCAGATTAATGTATCCGCTAACTTAGAAAACTGTTAGCGAACCAAATTGCTTCCGCTAAATTTAGTTCCCCTAACTATAAATCCGGTAACACTTTTCAGCAGGTAAAGTGAGTATAGTTTAACAGTCAGATACATTTATAAACCCTAAAATCATACATATTTGTTCCTGTCTGTTGTGAGTGTGTCTGCAACAGTCTGTCAACAGACATGATTAGTTGACAACTTGTCAGATTTAAGGTAGTTTGGACTAAATGTAAGTGAATGAAGATAAAGTCCATTTAAGCCGGGATTCCCTGTACTAAGTGGAGAGCTAAATGGAACTAGGAAGGAGGATCTCAGCTCATTATTGATCTATAGCTCTGTCAATCAGAACCTGGAAAAGACAACCGGTAGCTTATATCATAAAACTGGATTTCTTGCTTAACCGGATAACTTGCCAGATTTAAGGTACTCTAGTATAAATGGATTAAAATCTTCGTTCACTACATTTAGCCCACCTTAAATCTGACAAGTTACCCAGCTAATCAAGAAATCCTGCTTTGTGATACAGGCCCCCAGACAGTCGCAGGGAGCCCAGTGAAGTCAAACTGCGGCAGCAGCAGAAGCTAGTGGAACCTCAGTCGGATTGGGCTACAACATAGCCCCAAGTTGCGGACCACCCAGCTTTCGGGACTTGGATTTTCTCATCACCCTGAATGCATGAGTAATACTGCCTAGTAAGAGATCCAAAGTGCACCAATTAGCCAAAATAAAAATGTGCGACTCTCATAGCACAAAACCTGTGTATTTTTCTTTTCTGTTCATTCATTTGGTGTATTCGATTGCTTGTGTTTTTTCGTCTTTTGATCATAAGGAAGAACATTGCGATCAATGTACAAATTGGTTAAATGTGCTGGTTGAACTGTTTAAAGTGGTGTGGGGAAGCAGGGAAGGAAATTAAAAGAAAACCATTTTCCACATTCCTTCTGTGAAAGCAGCTTCCTATTTTTCATTAAATATTAATTAATTGCATTAAATATTAATGATAATGGGCATGT